TCTTACAGACTCTTGCTGTGGCTTCAGGTGTGGCCCCTGTTCTCTTTTGTCAGGTTCAAAGTCTCTGGTCTTACTCTGCACTTGTGATCCGTTTTCAGTTGATTTTTACCCAGGATGAGAGGGGGGCCTAGTTTCAGCCTTCTCTGCATGGATGCCCGGTTTTCCCAGCACAGTTTGTACAGAGGCTGTCTCTGTCCTTCCTTCCGGGGCTCTGTGTGTCTCTTCTGTGCTGTTCCGCTCAGGCTTTGCTTGGTGGCTTTGCAGGGTCCTTGGAAACCTGGTATTCTAATGCCTCCCATCTTTCTTTCTCTTTAAGATTGCTTTGGCTCTCTGAGTCCTTTGTGTTTCCCTATGAACTTCATGGCAGGAGGTTGTCCTAGTTCTGTGGAGGATGTCATTGGGTTTTTGATGAGGATTGCGCTAGATTCCGGGTGGTAGTATGTCCATTTTAACAGTGCTAATTCTGCTGATCTGTGGTGATGGTAGAGCTTTTCTGTCTTGTAGTGTCTTGTTTCTTTCATTGTAGAGATCTTTCATCTCTTGGGTTGATTTTTGTATCCTATGGACAGCATAGTATTAGTCATGAAAATAAGTGAAATTTGATGTTTACTACAATGAAAGGAAAAGTGTGCTTAGTGAAGTAAAGGAGATGTGGTAGATGAATGCTGTACGAGTGTGTGTATAGGAGAAGGCTGGGATGGGCAGGGTCCTGCAGGTAGCGGGAAGTAGAGGTTAGAAGAGGCTGGAAAGCAGGCAAGGTTACAGTTTAATGAGCATAGGCTTTTGTTGGAGATGATGAAAACCTTTGTGTATAGGTAGTTGTTTTATTTATTTATTTATTTTGGTCTTTTTCCTTTTTATTGGTACTGGGGATCGAACTCACGACTGCCTGCTTGCAAGGCAGACGCTTATGCCGCTGAGCTAAATCCCCAGCCCCGTGTATAGTTAGTTGTAAAATTACACAACACTGTAAATGTGTATAATGCCACCGAATGGTATTCTTTAAAATACACAGTGATTAAAATTATGTCTGGGTATATTTTACCCTACTTTAAAAAAATAGAAAGGGAACCATGGAAAATGAGGAGAAGGTAGTAGGCTAGATTGGGGTATGTTCCTGGGTCCTTGATAACTGTTGCAGTCAGGGGTTGTGAGGAGAATGATTACAATCAGGGCACAGAATTTATGATATTATAATGGTCGCCCAGAGCTAAACACAAGGAAGTACAGAAAATCTGTCCACTACACTAAATACCCAGAATATTCAGCCTGGATCCCACAGCAATGTCCTGCATAAGTCCAGATGAAAACCTAGAGCCCATGACAAAGCCTCCCACCAATCCAACTGGATGGAGGTCTAGAGCTCATGAGAAGGACTCAGGCCAGTCTGTTTTATTTATCCATGCTGGGAAGGGCCAAAGGTCAGCGGTGGAAGCCAGAAAGTCCACACCAGCAGGGTGAAGGAGCTGTGCTGGTCGGTTGAGGGTTCTACGCTGGAGCCGAGAAGTCACGCTCACAACAAAGACCAGGGCTGTCCTGAAAGGTACCACAGCCATCTTCAGTGACATGCTCCTCTGATGATAAGAACGGTCAAGTACATGCCAGGAAGCCAGCATAGCAAGCTTCTCCTGGAGATTAAACAGCGCACATCTTCCCCTCCGGAGCCAGGAAGCGATGCTCGATGTATAGACCAGAGCTCCCCCAAAGTGAACCACAGCCACTCTTACCAACAAGGTCCTGAGCTCCTCCGATGACAGTTGTCAAATTCACACTGGGGAAGCTAGTCATGACAGGCTCCTCGAGGGGAACCAATGGCTCAAACAGCAACACTCAGAGAAACCCACAATGCCTCACTCATCTTCTCCACGTCTCTGTTTATGCTGGCAACTTTCCTCAGGTGGAACATCTACGCTCAGCACCATGCTGATTTAATTCAGCGGTGTCAAGTTGACTACCAGTTTTTAGTCCATAACAATAATGGTCAGAAAACTTCTACTTTAGACTCATTAATTTTGTGCTGTCTGTGTGTGGTGCTGGGACTTGAACCCTGGACCTTCACTCTTGCTGGGTGAGTCCTGGCCAGTGAGCTGTATCTCTAGCCCTGTGTCCTAGGTCCTGTGGGATCACCATGCTCCTGAGTGTTGTGAGCAGACCTGAGGTTTAGGAAGTGTTTCTCACTTCTCTCACTCTCCAGGACCTGAGCTCCTGGAGGTCAGAGGCTGTGTTGTCTCTGCTGTTGTTCATTCCATGATACACAGGCTCTTGATGTGTGACCTAACCCAGAATTAATCTCACCAGGGACCCTTCTGCTGTGTTTTGTGAGCACTCAGTAAGTGGGTCTTCAGCAAGACGGCACCCATGCTGGCACTGAGGTTGAAGTCACCTGTCTGTAGTGGGTTTTTGTAGTAGTTGATAGAACACTAAAACACCTTTATCAGCAACTTGTCCTAGGTAGTTCGCAGTCAACTTCATTGTCATCGACTGGGAGTGGTGGCACATTCCCATAACCCTGGGAGGCTGAGGCAAGAGGACTGCAGCTTAAATCTTGTCCTGGGACCAGGATGGTGGTGTCCATATGTGACTCTTAACATCTGGGAGTCTCAGCAGGAGGAGCACTTACAGTTTGAAGCCAGCCTGGCTTACTAAGTGAAATCCTGTCCCAAAAGAACAAAAAAATATGTAAAAATAAAAAGGCCTGGGGATGTAGCTTAAAGCAGTCGACCTGGTACCACCCAGGTTCAATCCCTGGTACCACCAATTAAGAAAAAAAAATCACTAGAAATACAAATCGTCAGTGAAGAAAAGTAGCTTACACAGCAGCGTGGCTCAGCATCTCCTGGAAGTGGCGGTGGCTGTGTCCAGGTCCAAGGGGCTGACGGCAGGAGGGCAGCTCGGCTGTAGGAGGGAGTGAAAGCTCTGGTGACAGTGGCGTGTGAGCCCAAGTGTTTGCCTGTCGCTCAGTCAGTACGAACTTCTGTGGATAGACAGGCTGCATCCTTGGACAGCGTTGGCCGTGTCTGTGACGCCCCGTGGTCTTCCTGGCCCCCGATAGGAGGCCCCTGCAGTCTCTGGGTTAGACCTCCTGAGCTCGTGTCCGCATTGCCGGCTTCCCCTTCCTTGCCTCTGCTTCCTCTGTAAGATAGAGCTGGACACTCACCTGCTTTGTACGGCGACAGGGGCAGAGATTAGGATGGTACTTCCTCTTAAACCTTCGGTAAAATGTCCTCTGCTCGCCGAGATTGCTTGTAATAACTGGTTTTCCATAAAGAATGGTGTGAGTAGAGAGGCCTTTAAATTTAAAGTAGTTATATTCTGTGCTTTTTGCTGCTGAGTGTCATGGACCTTGATAATGATCACTTACATCAAATGGACCTATCTTTCCATATCCTCACTTCCCAGTAGCAGAGAACTGTATATAGGCTCTGGTAGGGACGGTTTTTGGAGGATTTTTTTTTTCTTTCATTTTGGTTTTGGTTTAAAGTCTTAGTTGTTTTTGTTTTGGTTTGGTTCTTTTTTTCTTTTTTTTTAAACACTTGGTGGAACAGTAATAGGTAAAAACTGAACAAGCTAGTTAACAATTTTGGACGGTCTTACGTTCCTGCTCTTTGGAAAATACAACTTTGGGGCTGGGGATTTAGCTCAGTGGCATAAGTGCCTGCCTTGCAAGCAGGCAGTCATGAGTTCGATCCCTGGTACCAATAAAAAAGGAAAAAGAAAACACAACTTTGGTCCAGAGGCAGAAATTTCCAGCATTAAATTATGAAGCCCTGTATGGCCCTTGGACATTTCTACTTGAGCTTAAGAGGCAAAGCTAACAGTTTCAGAGCAGAGTAACTTGGAATCTGTTACTCTTCATTGGGAGACAGTCTCTGGGTTCACACACACACACACAAACCTATTAGGATCTGAGGCTTCAGTGGCAGATTGAACTGTGCTTTGGAGCGGAGGCTGGATTAAGAGGGGAAGCAGAGCAGCTGGGGAATGTCCTGCGTAGGGAATTCGTGCCACCAGGCACTGCAAAAAAGGCAGGCAGGTAGACAGTAGAGGACGTGTGTGAGAGAGTAGTGCAGAGCTGGGTTGGACAGGGTAAGACGGTAGGCCACTCTGGGCAACTCAAGGGTTTGCCTGCAGGTGAAGGAAAGTCACCAAAAAGCCTGGAAGCCCTGGGCATACTTCGGACCAAAGTGAACCAGGCTGCGTGTCCTGGAGCTTTTGCAATCTACCAGGAAAGGCAGAGACAGATAGCGCAGCCTGGGTCACAAAGGGATTGCACATGGTAGAGGTGGTAAGTTGGGCAGGCAGACTGCTGAGCATCAAAGGGAGGAGTGGGGAACAAGGTAGCTGGAGAGGCGCGAAGTTTGGGAACCAGATTTCACTTGGCATCACCACACTGGTAGTTAACAGGAAGTGTGTGTGCTGTAAAAAAGGCAGAACTCAGAAGTGGGGAAAATATGGAAGCTGAAAATACGCCAGTGAGATCGAGCAGCAGGGCAGACTCAGAAAGCACAGCAGGGAAGATGCTTGCAGGTGTCCAGATGGGGAACGGGGAACAGGACACCCACGGGATTTCACAGCGAGGACCCACGGGTGTGAACGGGAGGTCACAAGATTGAGAACAGAGAATTGATGGTTAAGAAATTGAGTGGTCGCTGGGCATGGTGGTGCACACCTGTGGTCCCAGCATTTGAGAGGCTGAGATAGAAGGATCACCTTAGGAATTGAAGCCAACCTGGGTACATAGTAAGTTGGGGGCCACCCTGAACACATGCAGAGACCCTGTGTCAAAACGAAAAAAAAAAAAAAAAAACCAAGTGATGGCTGTACATGAGCTTTTCAAAAGTGCTAATTAGGGGGTGCATACTTGAGGCAGGAGACCGGTTGAATTTGAGACCAGCCTAGACACATAGCGAGACCCTGTCTCAGAAAAATGGGGGAGAGCCGTTTTTATACTTGTAAAATCATGTTCACTCAGCTAAGACAATCTTGTGATAATCTTGCAGATGAAAAAAAAGATATTGACCATGAGACAGTGGTCGAAGAACAGATCATTGGAGAGAACTCACCTCCTGACTATTCAGAGTACATGACCGGAAAGAAACTCCCTCCCGGAGGAATCCCGGGCATCGACCTCTCAGATCCTAAACAGCTGGCGGAATTTGCTAGGTAAGTTTAAGGACTTTTCCTTTCGTTCCACTGTAGAAAGTGCTTGAGTCTTGACAGCTGTGTTTCCTGGTGCCCAAGTCACAGTGGTGTTTGGTGTTCTCTAGGGAAACTTGAAAACACAAGCTTTGTTTTTAGTAGGAACTGTGCCATTTGAGTGGCTGTGCTTTAGACCCTTGCAGACTGTCCAGTGAGGCAAACTCTCTTTAATTCCGTAACTAGCGGTGCTGGGGGGTTAAGAAATCACATCACTTGTTTCGAGGTGGTATCTGTGCCCTGCCTCTGGCCTCTCTTGGGCTGCCTTTTAAATGGGATGTGTTGCGTGGCATGGGATGGGCTGTAGGGGACAGGGCCCACCCTAGAGCTGTGTCTCAGTTGGGCTCCTGCTGCTCCGTTGATTAAAGCTGGCAAGACAGGAAGAGAGGGACTATGGCCAGGGCCCTCCAGCTGCTGTGTCAGGGAGATGGAAACCCTCCCGGTGTGTGTTTCACCTGGAGTAGGCTGGGTTCCTTACAAGAAGCCTTTGTTAGTTTTGGTCCTCTTTTACTTTACAGTACTGTTTGACGTTTATTACAAGAACAAAAAAAACCCACAAAGATTTTTTTTTTTTTGGTACCAGTGGTCAAACGCATGCCTGCCAGGCAGGCGCTTATGCCAGTGAGTCAAATCTCCAGCCCAAAGTTAAAGAATTTAAGTAAGATTTATAAGATAAATTCTGGAGCAGAACATCTAGTTCTTTTCCCTACCTGAGACCAACAGGCTGGAGGAGCCCTGGGAATGAGTGCTGGGCAGGAGGAAGAAACCTGGGGTCCTGTGCTTACATGAGGGGTACACCTTTCTCATTGCTGTAGAGAGAGAACTGTTAGTAGAAACTGGTCTACCCCATGCAAATACAGTGGGGAGCTGCAGCCTCGGGTTCCCAGTTGGTGGGGTTTGTTTGTTTTGGGAGGGTACTTGGGATTGAATTTACAATCACTCACATGCCGCTGAGCTGAATGTCTGGTCCCAGTTTGTGTTTCATAAAGAAGGGTGTCAACCCTTTCTCCCCCTTTCCAGTGAAACTGCAACTGTGGGGAAGAGATTTTTTTTATGTTTTGAGATAGGGTCTCACTATGTATGTCATGCTGGCCTTCAGCTGGCAGCAGCACTCCTGCCTCAGCCTCCAGGGTGCTGGGATTATAGGCCTGTGCCTCCATGCCCAGCTGCATTAATTAATGTATTTCTGATTTCTCATGGCCTAGTGATGACTGTAGGGTGCTGTGCTCTGGTTAACAATATTACCCATATATGCAGGTTTTTATTGGCACTTAGATTTCAAATATAGTTCCATGAATCAAATAGTAAGTGTTCTTCCCCCACAACACTCCAGATAGATGTGGATATCTGTAGGGTACAGAGTTAGCAGGGAGCTGTAGTTCCAAGGTACATGGAGCCAGCTATGGTGTAGGTGTGCAACAGTGTGTTCTTTGAGTTAGCTTGTACACACATGGAATTCAGTAAGCATATTGGGACAGGGAGTCAGGAAGATTTGGAGCTCTAACTTTTGGTGGGTAGAGGTGGGGACGGGTCCCGCAGCCGGGTGACACTTAGAACAGCCTGCCCTGTGGAGAAGCTGTACTTATTGCTTCGTCTTGCCTTGGAACCATTGTGCTTCAGGGAAATGATGGAGTTGAGAGAAAATGGAAGCCGGTCGGAGCTGTTCATCAACAGCAGCCCAAAGTCCATGGCCCTTTTTAGTAGGTCGTTGGCTCAGGCGAGGTGGTGCATGACTGGAAACCCAGCTACTTGGCAGGCTGAGGCAGGAGGATCACAGCCAGAGCAAGTTGGTGAGACCCTGTCTGTCTTAAAAGAGGGAAAGGGTCTGGTGCTGTAACTCAGTCCTGGAAGCATCTGCCTAGCATTGGTGAGGAGGAGGCCGCGGTGGCTGTGTGGTGAGATTTCCTGCCAGAGACTCACCTTGTAGCTGTGTCAGGCTGGATTGGTGTGGGCACAGCCAGGGCACGAGGTGGGTCAGCTGGGATTGTGTGTGGCAGTCAGACAGGGACAGTCAGGGCGTGAAAGTAGAAGCTACAGAAGACAGCCGTCAGGGAACATGTTGACGATGGTGTGTTGGAAGGGTGGGGGACGAAGAAAAAATGGGAAGAATTTAAATTGACACTGAATTTTCACTCCTTGAATGACCAGAAGAGTTAGAGGGTTCTAGTTGGAGTTCCAAGGCAGGCAGCATTTGGTTTTAGATCCTAATATGAAAGGGCAGAGAAATAGTGGGGAGGGGGTCAGCATAAAATCTTGGGGAAGCTTCTACCCAGAGTCTAAGGAAGCATCAAGAAAGGAGAGCCCTGAGGGGGGGACTCGGGTGCAAAGGCAGCTACGGGGGAGGAAGCTTTCTGCTGAGCTGTGCAGTGCTGGCATTGGCAGGGAGGGGGTGCTGAGGAGGGCCCTGAAGACAGGAGGCTCCCCTGCTCGCAGGCTCTTGGGTGCTGGTCACACTGGCTTTTCTTCCTCTCCAGGGATGGGACCTGGGGTGCTGTCTCCCCGCCAGTCCTCTGGACAGTCAGGCCAGGCACTTGGGACTGGGAAAGTGGCAGAAGAGTAACTCGGGTTTAGTCCGGGGCTTTGGGGATCCTAGGGTTCTGCCGTGGGCTGTGTCCCCCCCTCATAAACAGATGTCCATTCGTCCATTCATGCACGCATACACACGCGTGCGCACACACACACACATTTTTTCTTCTTTGGAGATAGAAGCTTCCTGTTCTGCCCAGGCTGGCCTCATCTGTTTTATCCTCCTGCCTCAGCCTCCCAGATAGCTGAGATTACAGGTGTGCACCCGTGCTCCCAGCTAGGTTGGCTTCCAGAGGAGAATGGGCGCTGGGAGGAAGACTTCCTTCTGTACAGCGGCCTGGGACAGCAGGGCAGTCAGTGGGCAGCAGGCCGCAGCTGGGAATGTGCGCTGGCCGTGGGAAGTTCCTTGGATGGGGGTGTGTGGCTCAGGGAGGGACTTCTCTCAGTAGGTAGTGGTAGGCCCGTGAGAAGCTTGGTTGTGCGGGAAGGAAGCTTCCAAAAGAGACAGAAGCCCTGCAAAGGGCGGTCGTGGCCTTTGCCTCTGGAGGCCTTTGTGGAGCCAGCATGCTGAGCATTGGCGTGATGGTGATGGGATGGAGATTGTATCACTTTCCTTTATAGTCACCCAGTTAGAGGCTTCTTGGGCCTGGGACACAGCCAGGTGATTGAGCACTTGATCCTCGGCACTGCCAGATTAAGAGGTTGAAAGGTTCCATGGCATATCTCAGCCAGGCTGCCATCTCGTCCCATCAGTCTGATGATGAGGGTAAGGGTTGGGGCCCCGGGTGTAGGGGAGGTCAGACCCCTCTGACTCCATCTGCATGGCATCTTTTGAAGGTTGTGTTATCCTGCTGGCGTCTGCAGTGGGACAGTGGTGGCCAGCGGAGCAGTGGAGCCTGGGTGCCTGTTGTGCTCAGTCTTCACACTTTGAGACTGCTGGCCGCTGAGTGGGGTTTTCTGAGTTCAGATGCCAGGCACCAGGCTGCATCTCAGTCCCCGGGACCCGCAGCTCCTGTTCTGCTGGCCCTGTCTCAGTGTCCTCTGCTCCAGCTCAGCTGCCTTCCTGCCTCATGTCAGGAGTTAGCCCATTGTGAAAGTGAAAGCTGCTCCTAGAGAGGTGAGCAGGGGCCCGGCTAACCCAGGCCCAGGTCACTGTCACTGTGTGCATTAGCACCCAGCCTGAGATTCCTGCAGTGATAACGTAAAGAGGAAATGTGAGCGTGGAAAGGAAAAGAGCTCAGAGATCTGCAGTGTCGCTTGAAGGTGTGCTGCTTTTAGTGCATAGGTTATTGAACAGACTTGATCGGCTGTCTTGAGGTGACGTTGTCTTTGCACAGGGAAGGGTGGCCGATGGTTTGTGCAGAGCGGCTGTGTGACCAGGAAGGTCCTGTCCGCAGGGTCCGTGGTGTGGTGCTGCCCAGGCTTCCTGAGCTGGCTTGGGGAGCAGGCCTGGTCCGCCTTTCCGCCCACACACTCGGCCGCGGCTGAGCAGGGGATTTCACTACAGCCAACTTGTCGATCTGACTGGGCTGGTGGAGCACACGGTCGGCAGTGGCTGTTGTTTCCCGAGTGCCCTCACATGCCATCCTGGCTGTCCTCACAGCCCTGTGGGTAGGGAGCACCACACCTGTTTACAGAGTAAGAAACCGAGGCTGAGGCGTTGCGTGGCTTGCTCAAGGTCGTGCAGCTAGCAGGAGTCAGCTCCATGTCACACATCCCATCCCGTCTCGCTCACTCGTGCTGCCTGTGCTGTTGTCCTCGTCGTTCTGGGTGCCCAGGGTGCCATGCCCTGCAGAGGCCGAGTCCCAAATCCTTTCCGAGTAGGCGCACAGAGAAGCCGATCCGAGCAGCAGTGTGGACTGGGCCAGTCTCTGCTGCTGAGCGACCCTCTTTTTAGGAAGGTGATCGCTCCGTAGGTGAAAGACCCAGGGGTCTACAGAGTGGCTGCACTGAGGTCCTCGCGACACCTGTGCTGCAGGGTGTTTGTTCAGAGACACACACTTTAAATTCTCCTTTTACAGTGATTTGGACCTCTAAATACTGAGTACATTTTTAAAAATACTTCAAGAAAAAATACCACTTAACAAATCCTCCAGAATTGGCTAAAGGGTGCATGAAACTATTCTTCTGTGCATATTTGAAAATGTTTTTAAGTCTCTAGGAATAAATGTAAGAAAACATGAAGAAGACCTCTCTTTTGCTTTATCTTTTGGTACCGGGGATTGAACTCGGGACCTCACACTTGCCAAGCAGGCACTTGTGCCACTGAGCTAAACTCCCAGACCGAGGAGGATCTTTCCTAAGTTACATTTATTGAGATAATTCACATACAGTAAAATTCTCCTCTTCCTAGATGTGTACCATTCTACAAATTGGGTTAAACAAAATTATTTGGGTCAGGGTGGCATTATCTAAGAATAAGCATTCTTAACCAGGGAGATTGGGACCTAATTAATGTTCAAACATTACTGCTAGTTATGGGGAAGCTTTCCTGAGCCACGGTTGTTTTGACGCCAGTCTTACTGCAGGTGGCGTGCTGACACTGTCAGTCTGCAGGCTAGGCCCTCAAGGACTCACCAAGGAGTTGAGACAAACAGGGCTGCCTCTGCCCTGCAAACCACAGGACCTTAGCAAGTACTTGCTCAGCATAAGAATGACTGTCTAAGGGGCTGGGGATTTAGCTCAGTGGCATAAGCACCTGCCTTGCAAGTGTGTGGTCATGAGTTCAATCCCCGGTACTGATAAAAAAGAAGATGACCAAAAAAAAAAAAGAATGAGTGTCTAGAGCTTGGGGTGGGAGAAGGTGCCACACTGAAACGTGCCCAGAAAATCTAAAGTAGAAATATGTGTGGTTGGGTTTTTTCCTGTTACTGAGGATTGAACCCAAAGCATTTACAGTGAGCTACATCTGCAGTCCTTTGAGTTTACAACTTGACACAGTAAAGTGCCACCGTTGGACTTGGCATGTGCTCCCAGCTTCCCAGATTGCTGGGGTTGCAGGCATGTGCTGTGCCTGGACTGTGTGCAATCTTGGACACACTTACGGTTGTATAGTGTAATAAGGATCCAGAGTGAGAAAGAACAATACCATTCAGGGTCTTTGTTAACAGAAAAGTAACAGATAATTGTTTAATTAGTGAAAGGGGAGTGGTAAATTAGCCCTAATGTTAAAAGACCAGTGGCTTAGAGTTTATTAAACATGAGCCCTGTGGATGGGAATGGGTGGGGGGAGCTAGGAACCAAAAGAGAGTCCATTGCAGAAATGTAAATGTTCTTTTTTAGCTTACCTAGGGACTTGTAATTTCTTACCTCTACTAAACACACACTGAAAGGGAGTATGTGCAGAGGAAGTGTTGGTGGAGGACCAGGCTTGGCCCTGCGGACCTGGTAGCCGGAGTGGGAGCAGGTCCTGGGCGTGCATAATTGTGACATCCCGGTCCCAGCAGCAGAGACAGGGGACAGAAATGAAAAGTGAGTCTGCCAAGCACCACCCGCTTGCCAGCCCTCTGCAGTAACCATGCTGACAGTTTGCTTGGCTTTCTTAGAGAGCTCTTTTTTGTTTCTGTTTTTGTTTTTATTTATAAATAGGATCTTGCTAAGTTGCCTGGACTGGCCTGAAACTTTGATCCTCCTTCAGCCTTCCAGCTATCCGGGATCCCAGGCCTGCCTGGCATGTTTGAGAGCTGTGTGGTACTTTCACGTGTGTAAGGGATTGTTTGGAAAGGACTGTGTGAAGCCCTTCTGGAAAACATGCATCTTAAAGGTCACTGCTATCAATGTGAAGCGGACCACGGTGTGCGTGTGCCTGTGTGTGTGCGCGTGTGCCTGTGTGTGCTGTACGGAGACGATGTTTTCAATACACTCCATGATCTTTGCCCCTTTTCTAAATTACCTTCGTCACTGCAGCAGCTCTTTTTTGGGTAACTTGCCCTGCCTCCCACTGGGAGCCTGGGCAGTTGCTCTGGTATTTTTGAAGAGGGATTAGAGGAAAGAACAGGTCTCGGAGCCCCACAGACCATTGTGCCGGTCTGAGCCGTGCCATGGTGTCCCACCTGCGAAGCCGGAAGAGCACCCCACAGCCCCGGGCCCTCTCCTTCCACAGCGGAGCGGAGCGCCCCAAGGAGCGCCCCGAGCCCGGTGCGGTGCCGGTGCTGAGCTCAGGAGGAGAGCGCTGCAGGGGCTGCATGACTTACGCCAGCTGAGTGTACCCACTCCTACAAACCTCTCTCTCTCCTCTCTTTTGTTTTGATAAGAATGAAGCCAAGAAAAATTAAAGAAGATGATGCTCCAAGAACAATAGCTTGCCCTCATAAAGTAAGTAATGCTAGGGGAGTGCTCATTAAGCTGCGTGAGGTTGTAGAGAGCCTGAGAAACTGCTTTTATTTCCGCTATTGAGATGAAGCGAGGAAGAGATCTTTGGTTTCTAATGCAAGGGACTTTTTAAGTTTTGTTGTTCAGTAAAAGACACTTTAAAATATTCTATAAAGTGGGATTATGGTAGGGAGCCAGTGTTTCTATTATATTTTAATTAATCTGTTTAGGACTGACTTTCCTTCCTTAGTGTTTTAAGACGTTAGGTGTGGGTCACCTGTGGACCTTTATAAGAATGTGTACCTAATAAATTGGAAAGTTTGGCTGAAACAAGCCTATAGTTACTTTACCCTGTTAATTACGTGTTACAAGAAGGGCACTTAATTGTTTTCAAATGTAGTTGGTTTTAAAGTAGGTACTTTAAGGTATTACTTGGGATCTGTTTCCCAACTCAATTGGATCTAAAACTACCAGAAAAAGTCTCAAAATGGTGCAAAGAAACAAAGGCAAAGAAATTTAGAATGAAATAAAGGATTTCTAGAACTCAGCAGTTGGAGGAGGCTGAATTCCCTTTCGAGGGCTTGGCCCGCCCTGTAAAGCCACCACCCTCAGGCTGGGGCTTCTTCCCTCCGCGTGCTCTCGTGTGGAGGTTTTGAAGAGTAACCCGATCTCCACCGGGGCGGAAGTGAGTAAGCATTTGAAAACAGTTATGCTGTAAGTGCCCGTCATCCGAGCTTCTCCGTGCACCTTTCCTGATTAAAGTTTAAAACCGGTCAGTGGGGACGAAGCTGGGGTGAAGGCAGAGCTGGCTCCCCTCCCTTGCCTGTGACGCTGTCTGGTGGTGCCCTGTGCTGTCCTTCTGTCGCTGTCTCACCATTTCCCATTCACTCCATCTGGGCAACAACTGCAGAAGAAATGGTTGAGGACATGCTTCTCTCGGGCGCCACATCATCTGCCTCCCCGCCTGGTATCGCTTTGCCTGCCTCTGCCTCTTCCCGGTGTCTCACAAAATAAATTTCTTCTGTAGTTGCCATTCCTTGGAGACCCTCTTGCTTCTTTCTCTGTCAAGAGGGGGAAAGAGGCAAAGAGAGAAGAGGGAACAGTAGGCGATGGAGAATGACAGCCCATTGTCGCAGCACAGAATATGGGGCCCACCGAAGGTAGTGGTGGACTGCCGTCATTTTAACTCGGTGTATTCTCACTGCTTCTGTTACGCATCTGGGGGTTGCAGCTGGGCGAGGCGGCTGTGGTGTAGCTGGAAGCCGGGGCGCTGGGTTCTACTCCCGGCTTGGCTACTGCTAGTAGTATGACCTTGGGCAAGTCTACCTCAGGACTTCTCTAAGCCTCAGTTTCCTCATCTGTAAGACATGGGTTTACATTAAATAAGGCCTTTCTCAGCTACCTTGGTTTTTGTCCTCGTAGTCTCATGTTCTGGAGTGCCAGGTCAGGGGGCGCGGGGCGGTATGTTGGCTCGAGTGTGGTGCTAGGCTGTGACGCGGGTGAGTCCTTCTCCTTTTGCAGTGTGCACCACTAAGCTGCTTTCTTTGTTTCAAGGGCTGCACAAAGATGTTCAGGGATAACTCTGCCATGAGAAAACATCTGCACACCCACGGCCCCCGAGTTCACGTCTGTGCAGAGTGTGGCAAAGCTTTCGTTGAGAGCTCAAAACTAAAGCGACACCAGCTGGTTCATACTGGAGAGAAGCCCTTTCAGGTAGGGCTGCTGCCCCACCCCGCTCTGTGCTGCTCCTGGGAGCCAGCCTTTTGCAGGGCACCTGCCCAGGGGGACCTCACTGTCACACGGAGCACAGCCCAGTGGCGGTGGACATGGATGTGGGGCACGGATGGTAGAGATTGGGGCAGGGTGGGTGGGGGTGGTTCTAGAGCAGGCCTGCGGCTCAGTTTCTGCTGCCTTCCTGGGGGAACAGAAGGACTTGATTTCGGTGGTTAACAGTCTACTGAATTACTAACTGACCAAGAACTACTGCTAGTTCATTGTACGAGAATATGTCAAGTAATACTTTGTCTTGTTTTTAGACTCTTACAAAGCAGTGAACACGCTAGCAGAGCACCTAGTAAAGTTAATGTCCTTTTCTACAATGGACCTCAGAGAACTTATGCATGGTTTCTTTTGGACAGTGGGGACTCTTTCCCACGGGCCTTAGCTGCCAGGATGATTCTGTTCTGCCAGGGGATACTCTCGGGGTGTCTGTGTGGATCGTGTGGGGTCCCTGGGTCTTCAGGGCTTTTCCAGCATTAGTTAGAGCTCCACCTGAGAAGGGACCCGGAAAGTCCCGGGCAGAGAGGGAGGTGTTTACTAAGATGAGCAGGCTGTACCACCAGCACATGAGCCTGCTGTGGGCGTGGGCAGCTGCGGGACGGGTTGACATCTGGTCTTTCCTCGACAGTGCACGTTCGAAGGCTGTGGGAAACGCTTTTCACTGGACTTCAATTTGCGCACGCACGTGCGAATCCATACCGGAGACAGGCCCTATGTGTGCCCCTTCGATGGCTGTAATAAGAAGTTTGCTCAGTCAACTAACCTGAAATCTCACATCTTAACACACGCTAAGGCCAAAAACAACCAGTGAAAAGGGAAGAGAGAAGACCCTGCTCAGCCACGGGAAGCATCTTCCAGGAGCGGGATTGGGAATAAATATGCCTCTCCTTTGTATATTATTTCTAGGAAGAATTTTAAAAATGAATCCTACACACCTAAGGGACTTGTTTTGATAAAGTAGTAAAAATTTAAAAAGAAACTTTAATAAGATGACATTGCTAAGATGCTCTATCTTGCTCTGTAATCTCGTTTCAAAAACACGGTGTTTTGTAAAGTGTGGTCCCAGCAGGAGGACAATTCATGAACTTCGCATCAAAAGACGATTCTTTATACAACAGTGCTAAAAATGGGACTTCTTTTCACATTCTTATAAATATGAAGCTCACCTGTTGCTTACAATTTTTTTAATTTTGTATTTTCCAAGTGTGCATATTGTACACTTTTTGGGGATATGCTTAGTAATGCAATGTGTGATTTTTCTGGAGGTTGATAACTTTGCTTGCAGTAGATTTTCTTTAAAAGAATGGGCAGTTACATGCATACTTCAAAAGTATTTTCCTGTACAAAAAAAAAGTTATATAGGTTTTGTTTGCTATCTTAATTTTGGTTGTATTCTTTGATGTTAACACATTTTGTATAATTGTATCGTATAGCTGTATTGAATCATGTAGTATCAAATATTAGATGTGATTTAATAGTGTTAATCAATTTAAACCCATTTTAGTCACTTTTTTTTTTCCAAAAAATACTGCCAGATGCTGATGTTCAGTGTAATTTCTTTGCCTGTTCAGTTACGGAGAGTGGTGCTCAGTTGTAGAATGTACTGTACCTTTTAACACCTGATGTGTACATCCGTGTAATAGAAAGGGCGGCAATAAAACAGCAATCCTAAAGAGAGAGTACGGCAGAAAAAGATCTGTAAGCACAGTCTTATTCCTTTTGTTGTCCAGAATACTTAAATTCTTGAGCCTCCCAGAAATTGGAAGCTAAATAAAGCAACTCAAGTTTCCTTTACTTTGCACTCAGTGACAGTGACTTGTGGTTACAGTGATGCATGAATATTCTAGTACTTGTGCACCTCCTGAGTTCTGAGAGTAGCAGCAGGCACCCCACGGTAAGGACCTACCTCAGTGCCCAAGCCGGGCCAAGCCCTTCCGAGGTCAGGGGCCAGCTGGCCTGGGCGTGAGAGGAAGGTGGCGCGGTGGGCCTTTGCTGCCCAGCCGGGAGGCCCGGCCGGCTCTTGGGATCTGGCTTGCGGGCCCTTGTTCCTCCACCTGTGGAGTTCGTGCTGGATGTGGCGCGTATGGCAGTGGAGTGCCCACTGTAAAGTTAACGCTTCTAAGCGCACACCGCGTGCCGATGGGCAAGGTGGTCAGGTTCCTGGGGAGCTGTACTCGGTGAGTACTTGTCCTCCTCTTGTGGCCTCTTCTATGTACAACTACCATTTGTGAGCTTCACTTAGGGTGAATACCAGGCTTGCTGAGGTATTTTATAAGCAGAATCCCGTTTCTCAGAACACCAACATGCCGTGCGGGCGTCTTCTGTGCCGAGCGAGTGTGGCTCTGCTCTGCGAGGCAGATGACACCTACCTAAGAACAGGTCGCTTTCCAAGAGGCCCAGGACCCCATTGGTCCAGCCTGATCCCTTCCAGCTGCTTCACCAGGATGAGTGACCTGGTGACACTGGTCCTGTGGTTCTCTGGAATTTTGAAGTGCCTTCCAAATCATGAAAACACCACCTTCAGATCTGTGTTCCATGTGTCCAGAATCTGGTATCCATTGGGTCGTTTGGAGCTGAGGTGATAGGAAGACCCCAGATGTCCCTGGCTGTCAGGAGAGAGGTAAGCCCGCCGCGTAGGGTCGGCCCCCACAGCTGGTGGCCCTTGGCCAGCCTGGCCAGGGTTCTGTCATTCTGTCACTTGTGGACCTGCCCGCACCTCTCTCCCCGCTGTCCGGGGCAGGAGTCCTGGTGGCTGCACAGGCCCATGTTCCCCACACCCAGTGTTTTCTGCACTGGAGCCTGGCCCTGGCTGTAGCCCTGGGAGACGCGCCCTGACCTGTGACCTGCGGGGTCCGGGCTCCTGCACAGAACCTGGTCCCTCTTGTGCCTTCGTCCTGTGGGGGGTGCGCGTGGCCGTCCCTTCCCCCCTTTGTCTCTGTGGAGCAGTCCTCGCCCTCCCCCTTACCTGTTCCTGTCTTCTCAGCCTGCAGAGCTCACTTGTACCAAGAGCTTAACTTGGGGTTCAATGATTGCTTCATGACGCGGCGCTCTGAATTGACAGCAGTGTGTAGAGACTAGTGAAGGAGCAAGTGGAAGAGTCGAGGCAGTTCTCCCTGGGTTTCCCCAAACCCACTTGGCTTGTTAGAATTTATAATTTTGTAAAGATATTTACTAAAATTTGAAATGTGTTCAGTGGTTCCATTGTCTTGAGAAGTAATGTAATTTATACATAATACTGATAGACATATTTTCTTACATCTGAGCAGAAATAAATGCATGTTTGTAGCATATGTAATATAAAAACTCCAGAGGATAAGTTTACACCTAACAAGACGTTTTCTATTTTTAAATTTCTTATTGCCCCCTTTGGTAGTGGGGCTTCTGGGGGACATAATATTTGTATAAAGAACTGTCACTCCCGAGTGACACTTACTTTACAAGGTGACCCTGAGCTCATGCTGCTGGTCTCACAGCATCTGCTTTGCCTGGCTCGAGGCCTGCGGAGTTGAGGGAACAGGGTGTTTTTCCTAGTTGGTGTTCTTGCGGAGACTTGCTACCGGCACTCAGTTGGCTAAGTCTGAGGCAGTAGGCCCTTTGGGGCACATGTGTGTTCCCTGGCTGCCTGAGCACCCAGCTCCAGGCCATCTTCACAGTGAAGAGGCTTGTGGTGGGCAGTGCAGGCCTGAGAGTCCTGACCTGGCTTCCGGTTGCCGCCCCTACCCTCAACTCCCCCCATCCGGGATCCTTTCCTAGCAGAGCTCGTGTCAGAACTCAGTGGAGATGTCCCCAGCTAGGGTTTGTGTCTGTGGCACAGGAGAGCCCGACCCCTAAAATAAGACTTTGGGTTGGAAATGTGCTAATCCCACTCCTAGGTGGAGCTGAGTTCATCCTGTCTGACCCCTCGGTGATCCAGAATCACCATGGCCCTGGGGACCCATGTTAATCTCATCCCATGCGGTCTTTGATATTTGACCAGTGGAAAGAGCAGAGATCACAAAGGTCAAAAACGCCAGGAGAGCTGCTGTGGTTCCTGGCAGCCCTTGGTGTCACACCTGTGCCGGGGTGGCTGCCTCCTCACCACCCTGTGGACCTGATGCAGCCAGCTCTACCCTGCCGAAGAGTCCTCTGGTTCAATCTGACTGTAGCTCTGTCCCGGCTCACTTGGCGCTCCGTGACTGCAGCATCTTTCCAGAGTGGAGGCCCGAGAGGTGGGGAGGAAGCCGGCCGCCCCAGCCGCACGCCTGGTCCCCTGTTGTTGCTTTGCACTGCACACCTGCATCAGTCTTGCCTCCCGGCACCAAGCAGGGACAAAAGAGCACTGGAGGCCCCTTAGCATCCTTCCCCGATGAATGGCTGCAGGTTTTAGCTGGCGTGGTAGGCAGACTTGCTGGGTGGGACAGGTGGCATGGGTGTGGACCACCAGCCCACCCTTTACAGATACCGGAAGGGGACATTGAAAAGGGCAGCATCAGTCAGCAAATGGGACCTCCCACAGGCTGGTACAGAAGGTGAGAGCTGCCTTGGCCCCTGCGTTCCGCGAGCATCCTGGGAGAGATGCAGATGCCTGGAAATGATGCTGAGCTTGTGGCGGGAGTTCCTGCTGGGCTGCCCAAAGTCCCGGCCGCTGGCTGGGCACTAGGCAGAGAGAAGGGCGATAGTCCCATCCAAGGTGACCTCGTTCTCCGCACCGTTGGCGTCTGGCTGGCTCTGCTGGTCATCGATGTTCACTTCTGGTAACTTGTGGGCCCTGGCTCAAGGACACAGCACTGTGTCTGGTGTTCATCTTTTTCTTAAGTGTTCTTTGCCATTTCTGAAATTGTCCTTGGTTTTTCCTTAGCTCATACATAGGTCATAGACACAAATATTATAGTATTTAAGGCATCCGCATCAAGCATCAGATGGCTTTGCATCCAGAAAAGCATTGATAACTCAGTTTGAAGCACCAAGCATGTATAACATGGCTCTATATAATAAATGCATAATGTTAAGCTTTTGATTGTCTGTGGACCTTGTTTGTTCTCCCTTCACTGCATCTCACTACCAGAGAACCTGGAATGAGCCCTGTGGAGGTCCCAGGCTGCCAGGAAAACTTTGTGAGCTGTATGGTGACCGCTACTGTCAGCCCTGGAAGCCCCGGAGGTTCCCCCAAAAGCTTGCGAAGTAGGATGGACTCACAGAAGCAAGCTGAGCTGCTCAGGTTTTGGCCAGAGACGGAGTGCGGGACAGCAGCAGCGCCTCCCAGGCAGTGCCTGTGGCCTGTAGGGCAGCAGAGCGAACTCATCACCCCCCTAATCCCTGGCACTTTCCCTTGTGCAGTGTTGCTGAGCTGGCAGGCCCCGCCCAGAACTGCTGAGCAAGCCTGCAAGAGGGTTAGGCGAGGACCAGCCTTCGAGGTCGGATGGGAAGGAGCCTCGGGCTCCCTGGCTAGAAAATGAACCAGCACCTCCCGGACACTTGCTCGCAGCCCCAAAAGGCATGCCCAGGGACATGCCGGCCTCCGGAGCATGTCACTTGGTCCGCTCCACGAGCAGGGGTCGGCCCGAGGTGGGTTTGCAAGGTCTAGGGAGCCCGTTTTCCCCACCCTGCGTGCACTCCGCCTAGCCCAGCCCGGTTCCCCAGCCTCTGGGGCAGATGCTGTGCCGCTTAACCTGCGCTTCCCGGTCGCTCAGTGCCCCTGATCCCTTCCGTGCACTCTGCCCCAAGCCCGCGTAGCAGCAGGCACTGCCAGAGGCCCAGAGCTTCCCACCGCTCGCTCCGAGGCATGGGTGCTAACCCTGCCCCCCTCCCACTTCCTGGCGGCCCGGCCTGCAGCCTCCACCTTTGGCCGCGCGAGGCGCTGTGTGCCATGTGGGGCGGTGCGCATGCGCCCCCCCCCCAAGCTGCCCTCAGCGGGCCTCGGTCGCCCCAGGGCCGCGGATCGCAGGGTCCCGAGTGGCAGGGTGGTGGGGTATCTGTGCCGGTGGCGACAGAGCACTCCAGGAGACCCCTAGAAAGGCCTGGCTTTAGGGGACCGCACCCTAGGCCAGCAGGTGCGACGACCCCCCGAGACGGAGCTGGGGGCCATGACCGCCACGTGGGGCGGCGCGTGGGGCCCGGGCAGCGGCTCTGGGCGACGTCGCCCTGGGAGGGGGCTGGCGCTTGGGAATGGAGGAGACCACGAGGCGCGTGCGGCTGCCTCCTTGCAGCGACGACCCCATCTCAAAAAACAAATCAAAAAATGTAAAATATAGGATTTGGGTAAAAATTCCAGCCACTGAGTTCTCTCACACAGGGGCCTGACCTCACGGAAACGGCTGTACTTCTTCCGACTTTTACATGCCCTGGACTCACTCTGCAGAGCCTGTTTCTTTTCCTCGCTTTAATAAAACTTTGCTACCCTTAAATAATAATAAATAATGAAAAAATGTTTTTCTTACAGTAAAGACACATTGCCATTGATCGCCCTGGCTTCTCTGGTGCATTGTTTCCCTCACTTTCCCAAGCAGCTCCGGAGGTCCTGTTTCCTGCGTCTTTCAGGGTGTGGTCAGAATCGCAGTGCGGGGGGGGGGGGGGGGGGGTTGGGGACTTAGCTCAGAGGCATAAGCACCTGCCTTGCAAGTGTGCTAGAGTAGTGAGTTCGATCCCCGTACCGATAAAAAAGAAAACGACCAAAAAAAAAAAAAAAAATCGAGTGCGCCCCAGTGCCAGCCAGTGGAAAGGCAGCTGGTAAAACCCTGCCCTCACCCGCTCTGTTGGCTGCACTGGCATCGCTGTGACCTCAGGCTCCTCCCTAAAGTCAAATGACACTGAAAGGATTCTGTACCTGGAGGTGACCACGACAGCACAGAATACTCCCCAAAGAGGACTCCAGAGCTTCTGCGGAAAGTAGCAGAGCGCGTTCCCGGCTAGGAGGATTCTGAGCAAGGTGAATGGAGTGTGCCTCCGCTAAATTTTTAAAATTTATCTATTTTATTTATTTGTCTTTCTGAGACAGGGTCTTGCTGTGCCACTCAGCCTCATCTTGGGCTCATTTTGTGGCTCAGGCTGGTCTTGAACTTGCAACCATCCTCCTGCTTCAGCCGTCCAAATGCCAGGATTACAAGGCATGCACCACACCTGGCTAATCTTGAAAATCTAAGCCTTCACCGTGTGTTTGATCACTTTGCATAGCTCTCACAGCACCCAAGAGCGAGCTGTGAGCACAGCTGCCCAGTGTGTGGGACTCTTGCAGGTGGCCCTGTTCCCCGCTTCTTACCCTGAGCTCATGAAGCCAGAAGGAGCCCCCTGGTCAACCTCCAAACCTCTGGGTTAAATAAATCCTTCTTCCCAATGTTCTCACGCTCAGGTGTTTGAACCCACAGAAAGCAGACTCAAACCTCTCCTGCCGTGCCCGGCCCCAACGGGCAGGCCCCACCCTGCTCTCCCTGTGCTTGGTCTGTCTGATCCCAGGCCCAGGTGCGGGCCACACTCCAGCTTCACCAGCCAAGGCTGTCGTCTCTAATGTCTGCCCCAGCAGCATCCTGATGGCACTGTTGCCCCCTCTGGATCTCCCTGGCCTCTACTGCTCCCAGTGGAGCAGTACGGCCTGGTCCTTATCCCCCCGAGGTCTACCTGCTCAGTCAGTGACACAGGGCACTCTGCAGCCCCACAGAGACCTAGCAGGCCAAAGAAACACAGCTGACCACAGGCCAGTGGGGTGCTTCCTGTCCTGTGTCCCCACTGCAGTGTCTTGTCCACTGTGGACATCCACTCACGCTGGGCTCCCCAGGGTGTTTGTTCATTCAGACTTGGGGCGTTGTGGCGCTGCTGGGGACAGCTGACAGGCAGCAACTTCATGGATCTGCTGGCCGCCAGGGCTCAGTGAGATGAGCAAGGGGCACCCTGGGCATCGGCCTGGTCCTCTCTGCTGTGCCTGGGTCTAGCAGGCTGTGCCGGCCAGGCCCTGACTTGTTGTGGGCACATGGGCACTGGCCCTCTCCCAGGTACTTGAAGAGCCACCCTCAGGAAGGCTGTCAGCTGCAGCCACAGACCTTGGTCACTTGGCCACTTTGGAAGCTGGGGCCTTTGCCAGCTCCTCCTCCTTAGTGTGGAGGGGTGAGAGACCCTCCATGGAGCTAGCCTTGAACTCAAGGTATGATCCTCCTGCCTCAGCCTCGGAGTGCTGGGATTACAGGAGTGCACCACCAGCCTTGGCTTGGGACTCTGTGTCTTGACACTTGGAGCTTTGCCTGTCCTCGGAGCACTCTGTACTGGGACTCTGTGTGTCCTGGGGTGCAGATCTCCCTAGGTGGCCTCTGCCCTACCCATTCTGCCCTCACCCCCACGTCACACCTGTCTCACTGCTTCCTGTGGGGTCTCAGCAGCATAACTCAGCAGGGTGATTCCAGCCATTCTGGAGGCCAGGGTAGGAGGATCCCAAGTACAAGCACAGGCAGCCTGGACAATTAGGGGGACCCTGACTCAAATTTGAAAAGGCTGAGAGGCTGACCATGGTGGTGCATACCTATAATCCCAGCACTTACAAGGCTGAGACAGGAGGATCTTGAGTTCAAAGCCAGCCTGGATTTCAGTGAAACGTGTCTCAAAAAAATAATTTTTTTTTCCATATAGTACTTGTTCCTAACAGAATTCCAAAACTGGGGAAAAAATGAAAAGTAAAAAAAAAAAAAAAAAAATAAGATAACACTGCTGTCCATACCATTTATATGCTTGGTGGTCAGTACTTGGTGATGGCAAGGGGCCCTGCTTTGTAGCATCTGCCCATTCCTGCTGCCCTCCCTGGGGGCCAGTTTTGAGCTGCCACACGAAGTCACTGAGTTGGGAAGCAGCAAAGGGCACCCCAAGTCATTCCTTGTCCCCTCCCCCACTTCCACGGGGCTGCCTGTGCACTGCTCCTAGGACGTGAGCCACAGGATGGCCAGGGGCAGGGTGGGGGCCAGCTCCTGGGAAGGAGTGATGGGGACCCCATGACCACAGGCTCTGCCCAGACCACCCTGCTGAGACAGCCAAGGAAGGGGTTTCCTCTATCCCCTTCCTTGCAGCCACCCCTTCTGGCCTCCTGGGCCTAGATACTGTGACCAGACCAATGTCACTGGCTGGCACTGGGGTGGTGCGGGCGGGGGCCTCAATGGCCCAGGATTGCTGGGGCCAGGGGTCTTGGTTCCCTGTGGGGCACGGCCTGCAGGACCTGCAGGGATTGGGGAGGCAGAGTCGCCCTCTCCCATGAAGCCCACTGGACTCCAGGATCCAGGGTTAGAACCTGCCCCTTCCCCACGGTCCTCGACATACCCTTCCTTTATGGCCGGTGACATCCCAGGGACACTCCTAGTCCCATGTCTGTGCCTCACTCTGGGGTGCCTTTGCCTCAGACCGAGGCAGCAACAGATTCAGAGTCAGGCAGGCAGCCCCGAGCCACCCCCGTACCCCTTGCAGTGCTTGAGGGACCAGGGACTGCCACGCACTTACAGAACATCAATGCTTTATTCTTGGGTGGCTTCCCTACGGCAGAGACACCCAGGAGTGTAGACTTGTCCTTGCCCAGCAGAAGTCACCTCCTGGGCCTGCCTGTCCCATGTCCCCAGGGGCCTGAACCGGCCACACCCGAGCTCCAGGTCTGGAGAGACTCCTGGGGGGACCCATGCTGCTGTGTAGGCCCCGGCAACCCAGACGTCAGCTAGCCACACTCCTGCTTTAGAGGTGAGCAGCTGAGGCCACCACAGTGTCACAGCTTAACTGCCAGGGCCTCAATCTCAGCCATTGCAGTCTAGCCCAGGCCCTGGCCACCAGCCCCAGAGCCAAGATAGCTGGGTTCCGCCAGGCAGCGCCACATGAAAAGCTTCTGGTTCTGCAGTGCCAGGCGTGGCCAAGAAGCCTTCCTGGTGCCACACGTGGCAGAGGCCGGGAGCTGGCGAGGCATGGGCAGCCTGCCAGGCAAGAGCAAAGGGGATGACCAGGGCCTGCAGGGGCGGGACAGGAGTGTCTGGCCTTGTCAGGAGGGGGGCTGCAGTGTCCAGATGCATGGTGGGGGCTGGAGTGTCCAGCAGGATGGGGGTGAGAGCTGTGGTATCCACCAGCTGGTTGGTGTGGGGGACTGCAGTATCTGGGTGGGACGGGTCCTTGAGGGGCTGGGCCTGGGCTGGAGGCACAGCTGATTTCGGAAGATCCTGAGGGAAACAGCTGCAAGCCCAGTGCTGGGCGCACACAGGGCGGCTCCGACCGTCAGGGCGAGCGGTCACCACTCACAGCTGAGCACTCAGAGGCCTCAGTCACCCGAGTGGTCACAGCGGCTCCCCACATCCAGGAGGGAGAAAGGGCTGTGGGGCCACGCCACGTCAGTGTCCAGCTGCTGCCAAGGGGATGGGGCCGTCACAAGCTGGACGGCTGGGCCAGCGCGGGGCCCTCGGGTCGGGCCTCTGGGCCACGTGCATAAGTGAGCACCACGGTGACGGTGGCGAAGGTGGCGGCGTTGACCGGGAAGGCGCGCAGCAGCGTGGACGCCAGGCCGCGGGTGAACACGCGCCAGCCCTCAGCCTCGAAGCTCTGCCGCGCACAGTCCACGATGCCGCGGTAGCGCTGGATGCCGCGCACACCGTCCGCTTGCAGCCGCGACTTGACCACGTCCATGGGGTAGATGGACAGCCAGGACAGCATGCCCGCCGCGCCGCCTGCCAGCAATAGCTTGGGCACCAGCAGGCGCGCACCCGGCTCACAGCCCAGGCCCCGCGTGAGCACGTCGTAGGCCAGGAAGTAGACGCCGAAGCTGGGCGTCTCGCGCAGCAGCGTGGACACCATGCCCCGGTTCACGCCGCGCAGGCCCTCAAGCCGGTAGATCTGCGCCAGGCAGTGCAGCGCGCCCCGGTACTCGCGCGCCGCTCCCGCGCCCTGCAGCTGCAGCCGTGTCTTGGCCAGCTCCATGGGGCAGCAGATCACGCACTGGATGGCGCCCGCTGCCGCGCCTGCCACAAACTGGTTCCACGGGGAGTCGCGGCCGAGCGCCCGCAGCGCATTGCCCTGCACCCCGAACACCAGCGCGTTGATGAAGGTGAGCCCCATGAGCGGCGGGCCCAGGCCCTTGTACAGGCCCAGCACCTGCGGAGACAGAGATGCAGTCAGCGCCCTGTCCCCACCACGCCCTGGCGCCCGCGATGACTGAATGTGCGTGCGTGCACATGCACACACACACACACACACACACACACACACACACACACACGCCTGTTCCTGGGGACTGAACTTGGGGCACGCTGCCTCTGAGCTACAGGCTCTGGCCTTGAGCCTGAACTTGTGATCCTCCTGCCTTGGCCTCCAGGAGTGCTGGGGTTATGAGCGTGGCCCTCTGTGGCCCTGCTCAAGCATAGTTTCGTTGGAGTCACGGTCCTGGATGTGACAGTCCCAGGTGCTCACTAGCACGCACGCCTAAGTCCCCAGCCCCTCTGGTCAGCCCCAGCCTGGTCTACCCCCCCCTGCCCCCCACCCCCGAAGCCACTCACGCTCTCCTGTCTGATGATAGACTGGAAGCAGTGCAGTGTCCCCCGGTACTGCGGCTTCTCCTCGCTCTGCACCTGCAGCCGCACCTGCAAGCACAGGTGGGTGAGGGTGGGGGCTGCCCGGGAACAGCTGCCAGGGCCCTGCGGACCCCAAAGTCTTAACCGGAGCTAGGTGTGATGGCACACGCCTGGGATCCCAGCACTCTGGAGAGGCTGAGGCAGGACAACTGCCATGAGTCTGAAGCCAGCCTGGCCTACACAGTGAGACTGTGTCAAAACAAAACAGAACTCTCTCAGATGGGTCGAGTCATCACTAACCCACAGCGTGCTGCAGTGGGCCACAGAAGATCCTGTCAGGGCCACCTGTCCCCCATTCGGTGGCTCATGTCCCAACCAATGGCCACAGGGCTCCCTCTGTGTCCCTCATTGATGGGAGTCCTGGGGGGGGGGCACCAGGGCAAAGGACTCCTGCCAGTCCTGCTGGAGTCCTGACGGCAGCCCCTGCTCATGAAGGTCTGGGTCATGAGCGGAGTGGTGACAGAGTGCCATGGTGGCCTCATGAGCCTGGGTCACAGGTTCTTTGTTGGTGCTGAGCTTATCTGCATTGGATGTCGGGCCCTGCATCTTGGGCAGACGGTTTCTGAACCTGGGTGTGGGCAGGGAAACTGGGTCACCTTGCCCCCTGGGAGCTGGTCCCCTGGTTCTGGCTCAGAAGTGACTGAGACTGCAGCCAGGCCTGGGGCTGAACTCCCTTGGGACCTGGGACCCAACAGCTTCATGGTGATCACGGCTTAGGGCCCTCTGCCCAGATGGGAAGACAGCGGGTCAGAGGGACTACGTTGTCCCCAGGGGCAGCTGAAGCCACACCCTGTTCCTTCCACCAGAACAGGCGGGCCTTCCATCAGCAAATGCACCCCTAAAAAAGCAAAATTTGGTTTTTGAGACAAGATCTCAGTATATAGTATATATTGACGCGGGGCCCACCCTGCGGAAAGCCAGGAATAGAGAGGGTCCAGCTTGTAGCCACTTCTCTCTGAGGCTTGGGAAAAAGAGGGACCAAGATGCTTTTCTCTTCTTAGTCTGTTATTGTTAAAAATTTTGATTTTGTGTTTTGGGACAGTGCCTCACCGTGCACTTCAAACTGGCCTTGGACTCACCACGGGGCCAGGCTGGGTTTTTTTTTTTTTTTTTGTCTTTTTGAGACAGGCCCTCCCTATGTGGTTCAGGCTGGCCTTGGGTCACTTTGTAGCCCAGGCTGGTCTCAAACTTTCCAACAATTCTCCTGCCTCAGCCTCCCACGTGCTAGGACTACAGGAATGCGCCACCATGCCCGGCTTTCCAGGCTGGTCTTGGACTCATGGTGATCCTTCTGCCTCAGTTATCTGAGTTCTGGGATTATAGGAATGCACCACTGTGCCTTCCTGCTAAAGGCCTTTTTTTTTTTTAAGTTTTTAAAAAATAATTTATACGGGGCTGGGGATTTAGCTCAGCGGCATAAGCACCTGACTTGCAAGCAGGCAGTCGTGAGTTCGATCCCCGGTACTGATAAAAAGGGAAAAGACAAAAAAATAATAATAATAATTTATACTACTTTTTTTAAATTTTGAGACAGGCTTTCACTAAATCACTAAGCTGCCTAGGCTGGGCTCAACCTTGGAATCCTCCTGCCTCCACCTCCCAGAGTGCTGGGATTAGAGGTGTGGGTATCCACACCTGGCTTCCAAGTTTTTTTCAAATGAGAATGATTAACTTTGCTATTGGACATGAGTAACAGCTGTACGGTCACAGGTGACAGCTGCATTAAACCAAGTGAAGAGACACCAAGACGGGCCCCTGTGACAGTGGGGGCAATTCCTGGGCAAGGGCTGCTCCCCTTAATAAAAATCTCAGCTTTGGGCTGGGGATGTGGCTCAGCTGCAAAGCACCTGGCTGGCAAGTTCGAGGTCCTGAGTTCCATTCTCAGTACAAAAAAATAAAGCTCAGCTTTAAGTCGGTGCTGCCTATGCGTAATGCCCATGACCCAGTGGCAAAACCAACCAGCAGGAAGAGGTATAGACTTCTCATGGTCCCCTCAGGGTGGGGCTCTCGGGCACAGGGCAGCGGCTCAGAATTGCTTGGGGCCAGGACAAGTGTCCCCAGTCTGTCAGGAGTGCAGGAGGGGGCCAGGTCCAGTAATGTCACAACTTGGCAAGGCCTGCCCTCTGCCAGCTGAGGGGGAGGGGGATGGGAAAGGAGGGGAGGAGGACAAATGGGGAAATGAGGAGAGAGCAGGAGGAGGGAAGGGGAGGGGAGGGGAGGGGGACAGGAGGAGAGGGGAAGGGGAGGGGAGGAGAGGGGAAGGGGAGGGGAGGAGAGGGGAAGGGGAGGGCAGGGGAGGAGAGGGAAGGGGGAGAGGAATGGAGGAGAGGAGAGGGAGGAGGGAGGGGAGGGGAGGGGAGGAGGAGGGGGACAGGAGGAGAGGGGAAGGGGAGGGGAGGAGAGGGGAAGGGGAGGGGTGGAGAGGGAAAGGGGAGGGCAGGGGAGGAGAGGGAAGGGGGAGAGGAATGGAGGAGAGGAGAGGGAGGAGGGAGGGGAGGGGAGGGGAGGAGGAGGGGGGGAAGGGGAGGGGAGGAGAGGGGAAGGGGAGGGCAGGGGAGGAGAGGGAAGGGGGAGAGGAATGGAGGAGAGGAGAGGGAGGAGGGAGGGGAGGGGAGGGGAGGAGGAGGGGGACAGGAGGAGAGGGGAAGGGGAGGGGAGGAGAGGGGAAGGGGAGGGTAGGAGAGGGGAAGGGGAGGGGAGGGGAAGGGGAGGGGAGGAGAGGGGAAGGGGAGGGGAGGGGAGGAGAGGGAAGGGGGAGAGGAATGGAGGAGAGGAGAGGGAGGAGGGAGGGGAGGGGAGGAGGAGGGGGGGGAAGGGGAGGGGAGGAGAGGGAAGGGGGAGAGGAATGGAGGAGAGGAGAGGGAGGAGGGAGGGGAGGGGAGGGGAGGAGGAGGGGGGGAAGGGGAAGGAAGTTCTGTCTGGAAGCAGCTGCTCAGCACTAGAAACTCAAGACCTCAACCTGCCATTCACTGCCGCTGCGCTGCCGCAGTCCAGGGCTGTTCCCAGGCGGCCGCCTAGGCACCATGTGGGCCTGGCCTGGCAGGCTCTTCTGGATCCACAAGGAAGCTGTGCTCTTGGAACTTGCGGCACAAATGCCCCTGGGTGTGCAGGACAGCACCAGGCCTGCACCGCCCACCTGATCCCTCCTGTCACGCATGAGGACCTCTTAGCCCAGAGGAAAGTGAGTGACCCACGGTCTGACACAGCCTGGACCAGGGACAGCACTTTTTAAGGTCAAAGCCAGCACATAAGGCCGGGCCCTCAGCCCGCACTGGAAGGGCTCCCAGGCCACACTCACAAGTTCAGTTCTGTGCCAGCACACACCAGTTTGCTGGAGAAAGGAGGCGACAGGAGGTTCTGCTCAGCCAGCTCCAAAGAGCACTGCGTGCCTCCCCCAGCTCTGGCCAGGCAGCAGGAAGAGGGGCCCAGTGCCATGGGCAGCGAGTCCAGAAGGTGTGGCCCGATTCCCAGGACTATGGCGCTGCCAGGTCCAGCTCGGCTGCCTGGAGCATGGAAGCCCAGATGCCTTGGGAACTGGTGTGGCACTTTCTGGCTGTTCTTCTGGGTGTGTGACAACCTGGAACTCTGGTTTATCAAGACTGGGCCACATGGGGAAGAAGTGGCTGCCTGAACACCTGCCCTCAGGCCGTCATTCCCCACGTCAGGCCTCATGTGGGAGGTGTCCCACATGTCATTAGCTGTGGGCACCTCGGAGGTGCCACAAGCCTTAGAAACACTGTTTCTCACTCAAGAAAATCAAGCCAGGTGTGGTGGTGCAACCTGTAATCCCAGGAACTCTGGGAAGCGAAGAATTCAAAGTTTGAGCTCAGCAAATTTAGCAACTAAGATCCTGCCTCAAAATTAAAAAAAAAAAAAAATTTTTTTTTTAAAGAGCTGGGCATGTGGCTCAGGGTTCAATCACTAGAACAAGAAGAAACAATAAACAAAGAAAATAATTGTGCTATGAAGATCACGTTAACAGAAAGCACCAAGGATTTTGGTTTCTCCGTGTCCATGGGTTGGGTTTCCTCTCCAAGCTTTCCCGTCTTTCAGGACAGGGGCCACGGCCGCTATGGACCAGGGCAGTGTGGGTGTCCGAGCTGGCCAGGAAGGAACCTGCCCTGCAGTGCCTCGAGTGCAGCAGGGAGGCCTCAGGATGAGCTGGGGGAAGTCCTACTCCATTCCGGTATGACCCCTCGGGGTGACCTCTCGCCTTGAGCCCCACAGGCCTCTCCAGCGTCTTTGTGTCCGTGGCAGTGACTCACCTTGACCGTGTCGAATGGGTGTCCCACGAGCACGCCCGCCACGCCTGCAGGAAGGAAGGGGCACTTGTGACCAAACACCCCAGAACCCGGCTAGACTACACGTGGAGTTCCGGCAAGGACTGCTGGGGGAGGGGACACTGACCACGGCCCTGCTGTGCTCCGGGCACCCCAAGTCCTTGCAGTCCTCATTCCAATGGGGTAGGTGTCCCAAGGACAAGCTGGCACCCACCCACCTCCCGCCTGCTGTCCACCCCTTCCAGCTCCACAGCTCACTGGGCTTGGGGTGGCTGACCCCAGAGGTCACCCTGGACAGGATGCCCACAGTGTTTCAGGGTGCCCACTGCTCTAACGCAGGATGGCCCGGAGATCTCCAGCCACTGGGCCCCAGGCGGCGCTCGGCCAGTGCCGAGGCTTAGCGTGCTAAGTGGTGGCCGGCACCTCCCCTGGATCAGGAGGGGGAGCTGCCTTGCGCCCAGGGAGGCATCTGGTGACTCCCCAGTCATGCCTGGTTACTTATCAGTCCGGAGCCTGCCAATACCCAGCCTCCTTGGAAGGACAGAGCTTCGACTGGGCTTCTGAGCAGCTCACGAATACTTCTTGGGGTCCTGCGTGTGGCAGAGGACGTGAACGTGGCTGTAAATACTTGTGCCACCACAGGCTTGCTATCCCACGTCACAGAAAGAGAAACTGAGGCTCAGAGAGGTCCATGACTGGTGGGGGCCCTGGGCTCCCCTCCCTACAACTTCCTGTGTGCATCTCCCCAAATTCTTCTCTGGGCTGGGCGTGCTGCTCCATGGTACAGCGCTTACCCAGAGTGCGAGAAGCCCCGTGGGGTGTGGGGGCTGCATCTCGGGCCTTTTGTTTTTTGAGACAGGCTCCTGCTCTGTGGTCCAGGATGGCCTTGGACACTGCCCCCCTCCCCTTGTCCATCTTCCTGCTTCAGCCTCCCCAGGGCTGCGATCACAGTCCTGTGCTACCACGCCCGTTGAGTTCTGTCCAACTCTCAGTTCTGAATCTTTCCTAGTTTTAGAGGTTTCCTGGAAACATCTACAGCTGGCTTTTGTCCCCAGCCTTTAGTCTGAAGCAGTTTCGGATTTCACGGAAACCAATGAGAGAGCTGGCTGACGCTGTCTCGTTTCTCGTGATTTATTTTACCCCTTTTGCTTCCCGCATGTGCGCAGGTTCAGGCAAATGACTGCTTATCCTCTTTCTGCTTTTCAAATTTGTGAGCTCACAAAGGGCTTTTCTTCTTGACCCTCTAATCCCGACTGGCCACCACCCAGACTACTCTCTGTCCCTTGGCCTGGCCTTCTTGGGACCACGTGAAGCTCCAAGGTCACGCTGTCCCTCTCCTCCCCTCTCGGTCTCTGCTCCGATCACCCACCGCTGGCTGGACCTTCCCTTCCTGCAGGACAGATTTCTTAATGGGACAGAGTGGCCTTTTGCTCCTCCAGGATTCCGGGTACTGTGTGCCAGGCAGCTCGTGTTTCTTTGGCAAGAACTCAGCCTTCGATCCCATCTGTGGGTTTCGGGAACGTCACCAGGGATGCTGCAGGTGTCTTTTCCTCTAACCCTGCCCTGACTCCACCTCCACCTGGCCCTGCAGTCTGGATCTCTCTGAGCTGGGAAATTTCCATTCACCAGATTCCCCAGCTCCAGTCCTGCTCTCTCCGGGCCCCTTTTCTTCTGCTTTCCGTCTGCTTCCTGTCTTCTGGGATGCACTTTGCTTCGCCCTTTGCAGCCCACCCTCCTCATCACTTCCTGTGTGGAGTTTTCTGTTTAGCCATTTCCAGTGTGTGTGTGGGGGGGATAGAATACAGGGCCTTGAGCTTGCTAAGCTAATTCTCTACTATTTAGCTGCGCCGTTGACTGTTTAGAATCTGCAAGTCCTGGTTCTAGAATGCCTTTTTTGTTTTGTTTTTGTTCTTTGAGACAAGCTGGCCTTGTACTCCCTGCGATCCTCCTGCCTCAGCCTCCTCGGTGCTGGTATACAGGCTCTTGTATATTCACTTTCTGCCCTCTGTTGGTATCCTCAGTGGGAGCTGAGCCCCCCATGCAGCACATCCCCTTCGCCAGCCAGTTAGAGGGCTCCCAAGGGAACAAGGCCACCTGGGAACATCTGCTCTGAACCAGAAGCCAGCAGGAGAGGCTCCCCCAACATCCGACCCTGATCCTTCAGGGAGCAGCCTGGACAAGAGGGTCCAGCTGCCCTGGTGGGTGACTGCCAGCCCTGTTCCAAGCAGCAGGTGTAGGCTAGGCCAGCAGGCAGGCCAGGTCACTGTGGGCTTTGCCATCCCCCAAGGTCCTGTCCTTCCCCCACCCAGGAGCATAGTATGACCTTGCACCAGTCCCCTGAGACCTAGCCACAGGGACTTTCACCCTCATCCCTGCAAAGCTCTGACCAGCACCCACCCAGCTGTGATGCAGGCAGGCACCACTCACCCAGGCCTGACACAGGATCAGGGCCTGCGGGGCTGGGTGGAGGACCTGGGTCACAGCCACAGTGTGTACCTTCCTCACCCCTAATGCTGGGGCAGGACCTGGTGGTGCTGGGGTACAGGGGGTGTGGACATTCCAGGCAGGACTTCCAGAGCATAGCTCCAGCCCTGGGAGGGGCAGAATAGCCTGGAGATGGGGGCCTCTAATCCAAAGGAGCCCTGCCTGGGGGTGGTGGGGAAACCATACTTCCCAAGGGGATGCAGAAGGGCCCACTGAGGCCTCACCATGGGGGTGATGGTGATGGACCCACAGAAAGCAGGCCCCTTCCTGGCTCTCCACACACCCAGCCCTGGGGAGAAATCCACCAAAGCTTGGCCTTAGCTCTGGGCTTTCACTCTCCCCGTCCCTTGGGTTCAGAAGCCGGAGCGGGTAGCAGCTTGGGAAATTCTTAAACCCCTCAGCACACATGGCTGCGCTGGCTGGCCAGCTGCCCAGCCTTCATCCCCTGCCTGGGAGGTGACAAGCCCAAAGGAGTGCTCTTGCTCTTCTCCCAAGGGCCCTGCCACCTGCAGCTGAGGGCCGGGTCACAGTCAAACACAGCCGATGAAAGGTGGAGAACAAACAGGGTGGGCAGAAGGAGAGAAGCCAACGGCCTCGGAGATGGACAGGCCTGGTCACGGTGACAGGTCACCATTCCTGCCACCTCTGCGGCCACTAGTCCTGCACACCCGACGGTCACATTCAGCTCTCTATTAATGCGTATTGAATAAGGTGGCTCTCCAGGGGAAAACAGAGAAAGTACGGTCCCACAGGTAAGTGCCACGCCCCACCCATGCCACTGTCCACGCCACTGCTGGGCCACATGCAGATTTGGCCGCCCTGCACTCACGTCCCTGGAGGCACAGCTGGGGGAGGCCCGGGAACAGAAGATGCTCACACCGCTAGCCCACGTGGCGTGTCCGCCCACTCGGGCAGCCGCCCTTGTCTTCTCCCAAGCTCAGGATGGGGACGCCTGAGGATCGCCAGGTGCCCAGACAGCTGCGGGACAGGACACGTCAGGTCAGCCCCCAGCTGTAAGGCATAGGAGGGACTTGGGGCATCGGGCCAGGTGTCCCAGTGTCATCCCAAGCTTCCCGTCCGGCCTGGACTGATGTCAGTGCGGACACCGGAGGCGGGGGCGTGCACCGTGCCCAGCCGGCAGTGATCGGACCCCGCGCCCGGCCCACACCGCGCTCCTTACCCCCGGCACAGCCCGCCAGGAAGTCGAGGGCCATGGCTCGGCCCAGCGAGCCGCCTCCTCAGCTCCGGCCCCGCGCCCGCTGCTCGCCGTCAGGGCCCCGCTGGCGGTGGTGAAGTTCGGCCTGACCGACGCCTTGTGGCGCGGCGCGGGACAGCTGGATCGGGGACTGTGCTCGGTGGTGACTCCACGTCCGCGGTGCCCGCTCCCAGGCCGGCCCGCGGGTCCTGCACCTCGGGCCGCGCGCCCCGCCCCGGCTCCGCCCTTAAGCGGGGCGCAGAGCACAGCCAATCGGACCCCGAGATTCAGACAACGCCCAGCGCTCCGCGTTCTGGAGCCGCGTCTCATTGGCTGGAAGCCTCTTGTGGGCGGGGCCGGGAACGTGGCGGGCGGGGACTCCGCGGCGCTGTAGACAAAGAGTGAGCTTGGTGCGCCCGCCCGTCCGCCGCTCGGAGCCAGAAGTGCGGCCGCAGAGCCCGGGCGGCCGGAGGCGCCATGCGGAGCGCAAGGCGCGGGGCGCGGGGTGCGGGCAGGGCGGGGACAGGAGCGAACTTGGACGCAGATGCTGCGAGGGGGCCGCCGGGACCTCGGGCCCGCGGGAGCCGCGGAAGATGGTGGAGAGAGGGAGCTCCCAGTCCGGCGCCAGCTGCGGCGTGGCCGGCCCGATGCGGGGCGCCCGAGGGGACAGACTTGGGGTCCTAAACCGGCGGGCTTCCGGGCAGGCGAGCGTGGGTCGCCGTGGGCATGTGGCTCCCACGCCGGTGGGTGGGCGAGGGCTGGTTCTGAGTCACAGTGGCCCCTGGGCCTCGCGACAGCTCTAGTTGATGACTGCCCCCTGCCCAGCCGTCTGGAGGTGGCCGTCGGCCTGGCCCAGGGCCCTTATTTTTTGGCACTGGGAATCGAACTCAGAACCTCGCACTTGCGGGGCAGGCGCCATGCTGCTGAGCTACATCCCTGCCTGGGCGAGTTTTATTGATGCGAGTTGGATGGTGGCCTTAGGCTGGAGTCCTCCTCCCCCTTCAGGGCCTGCCAGGTAGCCCGGGTCACAGAATTTGTATCTAGTTTCAAAAGTTGTGTGCGTTGGCGACCAGGTGACATAGGTCGCTGCTTGTCCATTTCGTCGCGGTGGTTGACTGCCCTAGAGTCTGAATGCAAGGCCAGAGACCCAACCCCAGGGCTGCTGACTCCCAGTCCAGTGCTCGTGATCCCAGCCGGGCCCTGAACTAGGGGTCTGGAGGCCTGGGTTTGAATGTCGCCGGCCAGGCCCAGCTGGGCACCTCTGCCTTGGCGAGGTTCCTCAGGCTGGACACTCTGGGGCCGTGGTGTGAAACTGGGCAGCCCGTGGCCTGTGGCTGTCATAGCAGTCCCTGCATCTGTGCCTGACCTTGGAGACTTATGAGGAGAAACAAGTGCATGATGAGGCTGCTGTTTTAACAACTGAGAAGACCCAGGGGATGGAGGACAGCCTGTTGGCACATCCCGCCCCTGGGGGTGGCTCCAGGGCTCTGATGTCCAGTCCTCCTGTCATCCTTCAGAATGCTGGAATTACAAGCCTCCCGAGCCCACTGCTGGGGACAAGTTAGCCACCAGTCCTTGCGTCTGGGGCAGTGGTTGGGAAGAGACCAGCAGGAAATGGAGTTGACACCACCTGCGTGTCCCCAGCCTCTGTTGTGACATCACTGGTCCACTGCATTTCCTGGGGATACCGTTACAGCACATGATATCCTCTCCTGGGCTCCCAGCCTTAGGGACGCTGCCTGCGGGATTTGGCCAGCGCTGAGGACCCGGCCTTTCAGGACCTGAGCCCCAGGACCAGAGCAGCAGGTGGGGAGGGTCTGTTGCCAAGGCCCGCCAGTCATGAGGAAGGAAGAATATGTTTATTCTGGAGTGTTTTTCATGATTTCTTAAGACAACAAACAGGAAAAGCAAGGTGCTGCTCTGTCTCCTGGAACCTGTGACGTGAGCAGGATTGGCTGTCAGCCCAGCCCCTGGCTGCTCCAGTCCCATGCTGCAGCCCTGCACCTACCCCCGGACCTTTGCACTGCTGCTTCCCCTCCCTGGGAACTTTCCCCAACATGCTTGGACAGCTCCACCTCCTGGGGTGTCCCTGACTGTTCCCTGTGCCAGTTCTTGGTGCCCTATCCACATCCTGATGGTGATGGCTTTAGGGTATGTCTCCCCGCCATATGGTTCCAGTTTTTCTGAAATGTATTTTTAGAAATAAAAACAGCAGAGGCTGGGGATTTAGCTCAGCGGCATAAGCGCCTGCCTTGCAAGCAGGCAGTCGTGAGTTCGATCCCCGGTACCGATAAAAAGGAAAAAGACAAAAAAAAAAAAAAAAGAAATAAAAACAGCAGAAATGGATCCTCTTGTTGGGCTGCATGAACCCTGAACTATACAGGGATGAGGCATGGCTGGGAGTGTGGGGCCCAGGGCTGGAGGGAGGGGAGGCCTGTTATTCCTGCCACCTTGGCCACAGATGTCACCTGCAGACATTGAGGATGGAGCCGGACAAGGGTCCCCGGGCAGCTGCATCATCTGAGGGGGAAACAGCCCAGATCAGAGGTGTTAGGGGCTGGGGACCGAAGTTCTCACCTCCAATTCGCAGTGGTCTTCCTGCCTCGGCCTCGGCCTCCCGAGTGCTGGGATTATAAGTGTGTGTCACTCAGCCTGCTTGCATTTTGTTTGTTTTAGTACTTTAAGATTTATTTTTTGCAAAATCATGTTGATAAATGTTTTATCGCTTCTTGAAAATTCAAACAAATATCAAACACAAAAATCCAACATTAATACTGACCTTTCATACCTAATTTAGGTTTAGAGATTATTTTATAGGAAGAAACTTTCAAAGTTTCTTTATTCTTAGTTCAGACTGGCCTTGAACTCACTGTGTAGCCCACACTGGCCTCAAAATTGACGGTGATCCTCATGCCTCAGCCTCCCCAGTGCTGGGGTCCCACGTGTGCAACACCACGCCCTGACAATTCCATCGATGTTTCCATTATGTGTACTCTTATTCCTTACCAAAGCCTTCAGTGACGTGTAAGAAGCTGGTGCTGAGTCGTTAAGGCGGGACATGGTGGTGCACATCTGTAATCCCAGGAGTCAGGAGGCTGAAGCAGGACGATCACTTAGATTTCAAAGTCAGCCTGTACTGCACAGTATAACCCTGTCTCTAAAGGACAGAAAGAAAGACCAAAGTTATTTCTTTTCTAAAATATTCTATAGCATGACATTTAAATAAGCCTTCAGAACTTCAGAGCAAGAAAGATACATGAACAGAGTACCCAAAAATATGTTTTAACACAGTTTAATTTGTTTAGAATTATGGCCAAAACACCTTTAAGATAGTTAAAAAAAAAAAAAAAAAAAAAAAACCTTGGCAAGTATAAAAGGTGTTTTGGGTCCAGTTACTTCTTAGTACAAATAGTATGTCCATCAGTTGCTTGATCAAATTCACAAACGCAGTAAAAACTTGCATATTAGGGCAGGGATATAGCTCAGGGCAAAGCACCTGCCTGGCAAGCAGGAGGTTGGGCGTTTGATCCCTGGTCAAAAAAAAAAAAAAAAAACGCAAGGCATCTATGTGGTGCAAGAAGGCAACTCTCAGCAACAAAGTGAAACTATTTAAACTCCTAAAATAAGAGATTTGCAAGTTAAGAAATTACTAATGTTGCTTGAAAAATATGTCCTACTGGTATTCTCAAATTCACTTTAATTGCTTGACATATACTTTAGCACTTCAGCTAAATTATTAGACAATATTTTTAGAATGTTGTCTCTCTTCCTTTTCAGTTAAGAAATCACTGCACCTGTGTGGTGGTGCACGCCCATCATCCCAGCACTTAGGCTGAGGCAGGAGGATCACTGCACCTTTGATGAGAGTCTGGGCTACAAAGTGAGTTCCAGGCCAGCCTGAACTGCATGGTTAAGCCCTGCCTCAAGAAGACAAAAAAATCTGGGTAGTTTTAGTCACTGATTAACTGATGAGTGGATTAACAAGTTATTCAACAATTTAGTTTGCAGGAAGCCAACAAAAGTAAAATATAAATTTTTTTTTTTTTTTTTTTTTTTTTTTTTGTCTTTTTGAGACAGGGTCTGTATGCAGTTCAGTCTGGCCTTGAGCTCACTTTGCACCTCTGGCTGGTCTTGAACCCACAACGATCTTCCTGCCTCAGCCTCCAAAGTGCTGGGATTACAGATGTGCACCACCATGTCTGGCGGAAATGTGATTCTTCACTGTTTGGTTCCGTCGCTAATAACGCCAAGCCAAGAATCTGTTAGTGCACTCCCAGCTTTCGTCCTTAACCCGGCCTCTCTCATGGACCTCGGGGCTGGGCGACCCGGGGGACACTGTGTCCAAGGTCCCCCAGGATCTCCATCTCACTCAGCTTGAAGACTTCCAGCCAAAAAAAAAAAAAAAAAAAAAAAAAAAAGACTTCCAGCCAGTGATACTTGGGCCTCTGCCTCCGCTGGGGATGCTTCCAGAGGCCTCTGTCCGGCTGTCAGCCTCAGGTCACAGTGCTCTGGCCCAGGAAAGCCAATCCGGACAGGGACAGGTTCCCTGGGATGAAGAAGCAGTGGGAGCCCAGGGCGTTGCTGTGAGTGGCTGGCTCTCCCCACATCTGCCCCATCTGGTCCCCAGGTGAGCTACGGTGTCAGAAGTCAGGTGCAGGGGCTGGGGATTTAGCTCAGCGGCATAAGTACCTGCCTTGCAAGCAGGCAGTCGTGAGTTCAATCTCTGGTACTGGTACAAAAATTAAAAAAAAAAAAAAAAGTATAGATTTAGTAAAACCTCAAATACTAGGGAAGAGCTGGGGGTGTTGCCAGTGCGGAAGTCCACTAAGGGGCTCTGGCCAGGTTAGGAGGTGATGCGACACCCAGGTGGGAGCCGGGTAGGTAGATGCCGCATTGCTTCTCCGCTAAGTGGCATACAGGTCAGCCCACTGGAACCGGCAGGCTGCAAAAACAGGAGGGTTCAGACCCCTGGCCTCAGTGCTTCGGCTGTCCCGGCCTCTGGTCAGTGCCTGCGGGCCCTGCGGGAGCCCTGGGCAGGGCGGGCTGGCCCAGGCTGCGCAGCACCCGTGAGCTAGAGTTGGCACGGGGCTGGGAGGAGGCTGCCTGGCACCGAGTTGAATCCGGGACAGCGGAGGACACGGTTGGGCAGCATCCGGGCCCCGGGCCCTGGACGGGGCGGCTGCTGCAGAGCTGCTGGGTCGGGCAGGTGCTGCTCCGCCTGCCTTGTGAATCGTCCTGGGGCAGTAGATGGGGCTGTGCCCCCTTCCTGTCCCTTTCCTAACTGTCCCCAGACTGTTGGACCTTGTGGGGCCAGTTCGTGACTCTTGGGGTTTTCTCTGGTGCCTGCCCCAAGGGCAGAATCTGACTTCCTGTCCCTTCCTGTCGGGGGACCTAGTGCCACCTCTAGGTAGCAGTGACCCTGGGCTGCTCTGGGACAAGCCTGGTGCCCTGTGAGGACCCCAGGAGTCCTGTGGAGGGGACTGTGGTGTGGCCTCCAGCCCCGGGCCATGTGAGGCTCCCAGGGCGATGTCACAGGAAGCTCCGGGCGCCAACTCACGGCACAGCGAAGCCAGTGATAGCCCTGTCGCCCTAGGTTGCCGCCCCTTTCGTCCTGTGCTGGAGCCATTAATGTCCCATGTGCCATGATCCCACTGGAGCGAGGTTTGGTTGGTCAGTTGGGTAGCTTTGGGGACGCCTCTTAGGCAAGCTGGCTACCCCTGACTGCAGCCCAGCCCTGGCTACCGTGAAACAGGGCCTCGCCAAGTGGCCCAGGCTGGCCTCAAACTTGCTGCTCTCCTGCCTCAGCCTCCTGAGTAGCCAGGATTACAGGGTCGTGCCACGGGACCCCTCTCTTTAGAGAGCACTTTTGTGCCCCATGGTCCTCGCAGTGGACTTGGGTCCCTAGGCCAGCTGAGGATGCCTGGCTCCGGGCTCTGGAGCAGGAATGCTGGGCCAGCAGGGGATGCTGTGAGAAGCAGCGGAAAGGGATAAGGAGCCAGCCGCAGGGCTCTGAGTCAAGGGTCTGAGGTCTGCTTCTGCGACCCAGTGCCAGGGACCTTCCCTTATCTCGCCGATGCTGCTGCAGGTAGCTGTTGCCAGACAGAGAAACTGAGGCACAAAGCATCATCCAGAGCAGAGCTGGGTCTTTGGTTCCAAGGCTCTGCTGAGTTCTTCCCTGGTGGCCAGGTTCTGGGCCTGGGAGGCCGGTTCCGGGCAATAGCCGGCCAGGCGACAGCCCTGGGGTCCCTGCTGCCGCTGGGAGGCTGAGCCCAAAGAGTCTCTGGTGGGAACCCTGGGCCTGGGGGCGGGGCTTGGGCTGGTGAGGGCCAGGCAGCCTGGGGGCCCAGAGGGGCTCCCCCTGCTCTGTCACTGAGCACATAACCCCTTCTGGATGATAGTGTGAACTTTGATGCGCCTGGGAATAATAGATTCACAGTGCCAGCTCCCTTCTCTTCCTGAGTTGGGCCCGCCCCAGTGGAGAAACTGCTTTTTTTTGTTTATTAGTAGCCCAGGCGGGGTTTGACCTGGTTGAGGTCCTCCTGCCTCAGCCGCCTGAGTACTGGGGTTACAAACAGGTGCCAACATGCCTGGTTTAGAGGAGAACTTCCTATTTTTCTTTTTAAATTCTTCATTTAAAAATTAAGCTTACTGGGCTGGAGATTTAGCTCAGTGGCATAAGTGCTTGCCTGGCAAGCATGAGGTCATGAGTTCAATCCCCAGTACCTCAAAAAAAAAAAAAAAAAAAATTGAAAAATTAAGCTTACTGGTACATTTTAGGTGTACATAGTGATAACATTCATTGTGAGGAATTTATACCTGTGCATGATAGAACTTGATTTTTTTTGTCTTTTTGAGACAAGGTCTCGCTGTGCAGTTAGGGCTGACCTTGAGAATCAGAGAGGTCAGGCCACTGGCCCAAGGACACACAGCCGAGAGCCAGAGCCCAGGCCAGGCCTAGGTGGAGAGTGTACCTGCACCACCTGCGGGGGCCGAAGTCTCTGCCTCTCTGCCCCCTCCTGGGTCATCGACCCCACGGGGTGGGAGGGGACCCATGGCTGATGGGCCTTTTGTGTCCACAGTGAATCCTGAAAGTGTACTTTTGCTTTCCTTCCCCACAGTACTGGAGACAGAACCCCCAGGCGAGGCAAGCGCTTCGCCCTCATGCACCCCAGCTCTTGTATTATTGTGAGGCTCGGTCTGGCTGGGCTGCCCGGGCTGGCCTTCTTGGTGATTGTCCTGCTTCAGCCTCCCCAGTAGCTGAGAGTGTGGCGTGTGCCATTATATTCGGCGCTGTGGTCCCTCATCCTGCCATCTGTCCCTCCCTCTGTCCGGCTCCTCGCCTTCTCCCCCACCGCAGCCTCCCTGCACTGCCTGCCCACGGGCCTGGCACTCAGCCCTTTGCCCTGCCAGCCGGAAGCTGCAGGAAGTGACCTGGGGCCGCTGACCCCTGGCGATGGGCGGCATGACTGCCCCATGCTGCTGGCCGCTGCCCGCCCTGCATGTGTCCCTGGCTGCTCTGGGCATCTTGGGTGAAGGGGGGTGCTGGTGGCAGGTGTGGGGTGCACGGGCAGGCGGGCCTGGTGCTGGGGGCAATGCTACTGTGGCTCTGATGTGGGTCCGGGGCCTGGGAGAGGCCGGGCCCTGCTGTCCCCAGGGAACAGCACTGGTGCGCAGCGTGGCAGGGATGAGAATGAGGACCGGCCGGAAGGGCAGCCCCGAGGCACCTGTGCCCGTCCAGCCCGGCTTCACTGCTCCGCAGGGCGTCTGGAGCGCACCTGGCCCCAGGCCTCGACCAGGGTGGTACAGGCAGGAGGATATTCTCCTTCCCTCTCTTCCCAGGGGCGCCGGGATTGAAGCCGGGTCTGGGGCTCTTGAAGTGGTGCTTACCGCTGAGTTATGACCTCAGCGTCTTATTGTGTTTTGGCATTTTTTTATTTTGGGACAGGGTCTCGCTAAGTCACTTAGTTGCTTGAGTTGGGCCTGAGCTTTCCATCTCCTGCCTCAGCCTCCCAGAGTGCTGGGAGCACAGGCGTGCACCAGGTGCTGGCACTCAAGGCCACCAGATGGGTAAACAGATGGCGCCTGACCTCCTGCCTGGCTGGGAGCCAGCCTGGAGCAGTGTTTGGGTCCAGCAGCCCCGTCCCTAACCTGATCCCCAGGAGCTCTTCACGCCCAGCCAGTCACGGTGCTGGCTGGCTTGGTGCCCCCTGCCCCTGCCCTCTGCCCTCTGACGTGGCAGCCATGCTGCCCACGGGGACCCAGGGCCCCTTCCCTGCCAGGCGCTCAGCTGCTCAAGGCCACTGCAGTCCCAGACTCGTAAACAGGAGGGTGCCTGGCCTGCTGCCTTGCCCCAAGGGCCAGTGGGTGGGCCTCTGTAGCCAGCAGCACCTGCAGGGCCCCTCCACCCAGCCACAAAGTGGCCTCTGTGTTCCCCAGGCCCCTGCCCATGGCCCATGACCCCCATTCTCCTCCCTTCCTGCGGCCCCTCAACCATAGGGCCAGATCTTCTGTGCCTGCATGTGGTGGCACATGCCTGTAATCCCTGCACTTGGAGGCTGAGGCAGGAGAATGTCTGTGAGCTCGAGGTCAGTCAGGGCTACACATGAGTTCCAGGCCAGCCTACCTGGCCTTATCTCAAAAAACAAAAACAAAACCAAATATCAAAACAAACCAATAGAAGAGAATGAATTCAAGGCCAGCCTGAACTCCAGTGAGACCCTGTCTCCAAAGCAAGTGTCTGCTGAATGAGGAAGCCAGGGAGCTCCCGGGGTTCCCCAGCAGGGAGTCAGGGAGGGCTTGGAGCTGTCATGCTCCCACCCCCAGGCCTCCCAGAGGCGTCTGGATGCGCTGGGGCTCACGCCTGAGGTGTGGGGACAGAGGTCCTGCCCCTCCAGTAACCTCTCGGACACTGTCCCAGCACCTGGGCCCCGAGGACAGTGGGACAAGGGTGGGGGTGGTGGCAAGAGCGAGGGTTCCGGCATTGATCGCTTGTCCCCCCCTGCCCTCCCCCCCTCCCCCCTACACAGGTATTTAAGGTCTGAGAGGCAGCCAGCCAGGGCAGTAAGCAGGCGCCGGCTCTGCCCTGTCCATGGATTTTGTGGCTGGAGCCATCGGAGGTAGCAGGGTGGGGGGTGGGGAGCACTCGGCCTGGGCAGCAGCTGGGATTGGGGCCCCCAGGAGGGGCTGGGACTGGGCATGGGCCCTGGGGGACAGAGGAGAGGGCAGGCTCTGGGCCCCTGGCAGGGGATCCGAGGGTTTGAGAAAAGCTGTGGGGCTGCCCTGTGTGGAACCCAGACAGAACACTGAGGGCCAGCTGGGGACAGAGGCAGGGCTCAGGGAGGCCGGGAGTCTCTGGTGGAGGCGGATGAGCCCTGGGGAGGGGTTGGAGACCCCAGGAGGCTTGGCCTGACCCTACCGGGGACCACGGGCTGAGCTACTCAGCCCCTGGGATGCAGGCTGACCCAAGTTGACTGTCTCAGGCCAAAGTCAGCCTCGCTCCTCCCTGCCATCGACCGGCCTCAGCTATTCTGAGCCTGTCCGGTCTTGTGAAACCGCTGTGGGCGGTCTTGCCCTGGCTTCTGAAAGTGCCCACCATATCCCGGTCCGGGAAGGAACCAGGAAGGACTCTGGCTGGACAGGAAGGCCAGGTCACCGAGCCCTGCTCTGTGCTTCACCGTGGGTAACGGGACGCAGACTTGGGCTTTGACTGTGAGGAAATCCAGTAGCTCTGGAGGGGGAGGTGACTGAGGTCACAGCAGCAAGGCCATGTGACAGGGCCAGCATGTCTCCCGGCATAGGGGCAGCCCGGAGTATGGAGTCAGGGAGGGCTTTAGAAGAGGCGATGTGTGGTGTTTGCAGGGCTTTGATGGATGAGTAGGAGCTTGGCGAGGTGCTTTTCAGGTTCAAGGAAAGTCATTCTACTCACAATGCTGAGTAGCCCTCTGCTTGACTTCACCTCCAGTTCTTTCATTCTGTCACGATCTATTTATTTATTTACTTTTTAATTTAGTTTTTTGTCCTGGGGATGGAACTCATGACCTGGTGCTTGCCAAGCTGGTGCCTGTGCCGTTTTACTAAATCCCTGGCCCTTCCATCACTGTGTACTAGGCCACGCCCTAGACACAGCACAGCCATCACGTGGCTTTGCCTCTGTGGAGCTGCTTCAGCCTGTGAGCAGAGGGACTGAGGTTTCCGCGCTCGCAGTGGGGAGTGGGGATCCCGTGGAATGTTGGTTTGGTGCTCTGGCCGGAAGTGGAAGGGAACAGGGCCACACAGCCCCCTTTGAGGGCCCTCTGGGGCTCCCCCTCAGCCTCAAGTGCCTGGCTGGGACCACAGCCTCGGGACACCCAGCAGCACCTGCTATTCCCTGTGCTCGTGAGGTCCCTGGCAGCCAGTGCCGGCCAGGTCCCCAATGGCACTTGGCATTGGCCCAGCTGGGGCCCTGGCCTAAGTAGGGGTCAGGTGGGTAGGGCTTGGGGGCTCTCAGTGTGGGTCAGGCCAGCTGTCCACAGTGGATGCTGATGCCACCCGGCGTGTCCAGGCATCAATGTGCAGGGCTCAGGACAGGGCTCACCTGTGAACTGGGCCGGGGTGTGCTCCCCATGAGGCTCACTAGGGCGCCCTCCTTGCAGGAATCTGCGGCGTGGCTGTGGGCTACCCCCTGGACACGGTAAAGGTGAGGCCCGGCACCTGCCCACTGCCCTTCCAGCTCCCGAAGACCCTCACCCTATGCCCTGGTCTGGCCTCTCCCCGGGCTCCCTGCCCCTGCCCGGGCCGCCTGGTGCCAGCACCCCCTGACGCTCTGTCTCCCCAGGTCAGGATCCAGACGGAGCCCAAGTACACAGGCCTCTGGCACTGCATCCGGGACACGTACCGCCACGAGCGGGTAGGCTGCGGGGCCGGGGTCTCCCGGCAAGGGCACCGCCTCAGCATTGGGTGGGTCAGGGACGGCACTGTGGCTCTGTCCCTCCCAGGCCTTCTCCGGAGGATGGGCTGGCGGCACCCTGAGGTCCCTGTGGGGCTCAGGTCTGATGTGGGGACCTGGGGCATTTACAGAGGGGCTCCATGCAGGCTGGGCTTCATTAACTCAAAAATGGCAATGATAGAGTCGAGTCGGGTGTGGTGGCGCACACCTGTCATCCCAGCACTGGGAGGCTGAGGCAGGATCACTGCAAGTTCAAGACCAGAGCTACACAGCCACACGGTGTCTCAAAAAAGTCCAAATGGGGGGGCTGGGGATTTAGCTCAGCGGCATAAGCACCTGCCTTGCAAGCAGGCAGTGGTGAGTTCAATCCCCAGGAAAGTCCAAATAGCACCAGAAATCTCCCCCACCAAAAACCCCAAACACCTCAGCAATCATGGGGCCTCGGGGTCACGGCCATCATCAGGTGCTGTCTTGGGTTAAGCCTGACCCCCGTCTCTCCAGCACCTCACCAGGCCCTGGCAGGCTGGGGACCATGACCTCAGTTTTCCAGTGGGGCAAACTGAGGCAGCAGCAGCAGGTGACCAGTGAAGGCCGCATGGCCGGGCCCCACTGACCCGGCCCGTTTGTCCCCCAGGTGTGGGGCTTCTACCGCGGCCTCTCGCTGCCCGTGTGCACCACATCGCTGGTGTCCTCCGTGTCCTTCGGCACCTATCGCCACTGCCTGGCACAGATCTGCCGCTTCCGGTATGGCAGCGCTGACGCCAAGCCCGCCAAGGTGGACATCACGCTGTCAGGATGTGCCTCGGGCCTTGTCCGGGTGAGGGGGTGTGGGGGAGGGAAGGCGGGTGCAAGGGGGCGCCCCGGGTCCTGCCAGGCCAGCCCGGCCCGGCCCCTCTGCAGCACGCGGCTAACCAAGGAGTCGCTGGTCAGCAAGCCAGGAAGTCGCCAGGAAGCCTGGTTACCATGGAGATGGAGCCTCCCTCAATCTCTAAGGGCCCAGGATGGGCAGGGAGGCCCAGGCTGTCCCCAGCCCAGCCCGTGGCCCCTCAGTGGCGGTTGGGAGCTGTGAGCTGCACAGAGGGTGATGGTGCCAGGCTCGGACAGGAGCATCTTGGGGGTCCTGTCCCAAGGCCCTGAGCCCCTGCACTTCCATCTCCTCATCTGCAGTGGCGGGGAGCTCCAGGGGGCTCGGGTGGACACCCCAGCACCCACGTCCCTGGAGGCCCGGGTTCCCCAACACCAGAGTCCAGGAGCCTCGTGCTCAGGAGCCGCTGACCCCCTCCCTACGCAGGTGTTCCTGACTTCGCCCACAGAGGTGGCCAAGGTGCGCCTGCAGACGCAGACGCACGCGCAGACCGGGACGCAGGCGCAGACGCCGAGCCGCACGCAGCGCCGCCCCTCCGCCTCGTGGCCTGCCGCCGCGCCGCCTCTGTGTCCTGCGCCCACGCGTCCCGATCCTGGGCCTAAGTACCGCGGGCCGCTGCACTGCCTGGCCACGGTGGCCCGAGAGGAGGGGCTTCGGGGCCTCTATAAGGGCAGCTCCGCCCTGCTCCTGCGGGACGGCCACTCCTTCGCCACCTACTTCCTCTCCTATGCCATCCTCTGCGAGTGGCTCACTCCCGCCGGCCACAGCCAGCCAGGTGAGGGGGACACAGGCGGACGTGGTCCCGTGGGCGGCGAGCTTGGCCGCGCGGATACCCCAGGGAGCCAGGACTGGTAACGCTCCCCTGGAGGCAGCCTCAGTTTCCCCGCCTGCAGAGCGAGCCCGCTGTCTCTCCTGCAGACGTGGCGGGCGTGCTGGTGGCTGGCGGCTGTGCGGGGGTCCTGGCCTGGGCGGTGGCCACCCCCATGGATGTGATCAAGTCGCGGCTGCAGGCGGACGGGCAGGGCCCGCAGCGCTACCGGGGCCTCCTGCACTGCCTGCTGAGCAGCGTGCGCCACGAGGGCCCCCGGGTGATGTTCAAGGGGCTGGCGCTGAACTGCTGCCGCGCCTTCCCGGTCAACATGGTGGTCTTCGTGGCCTACGAGGCCGTGCTGCGGCTCATGCGACCCTAGGGCGACCCTCGGCGGCCTCTGCGGGTCGCTGCAGGCACCGAGGAGACCAGGGGGTGCGGACCCCAGAGAGCCTGGCCCAGGACAGCTGGGTGCCTGGGAGTGGGCAGGCCAACTGGCTCCGACCTCCGTCCACAGGAGGACAAGGGTCAGCAGGATCGGAGTGGCTCGCGGATGAGGTGTTTTTGCCGGCTCCCCACAGACCCTACCCCTCCACCCATGCTCAGCCTCTGTACCCTCCAAGGCTGTGCCAGTCTGGGGACACCGTTGCATTTCAGCCCCAGGCCAGCTTGTCCTGTCTGCCTGCAGGGTCAGCAGAGCCCCTGGTCGGGGGTGACACCTTCCCACACATGCAGGGTCTCCCTGGACGGGTCAATAAAGAGTCTCCCGGGATGCTTGGCCGTGTCGTCTGGTCTGTGGGATAGGTGCCCCGTTCCCTCCCTGTGTGCTGGGCAACTGCTTTCACCTTGCTGTGGGCCAGTCCCCTACCCGTGCCACTGTGCCCACCTTGAAGATGGGCACACACAGGCCTGCTCACGGCCTGCCCCTCAAAGAGGCCCTGGCTGTGGGGCTGCAGGTGGAGGCCCGAGGGTGCCTCACACGGTATTCTGACCCACACAGCCACAGTACAGAGGGCAGGGCTCCGGGGGACCCTCTGCTGAGGCCTGCTGGTGACCGTGCCTGTGGACTGGGTGTCCTCCAGCGTTCTAGGGGAGACCCAGCATGGCCGCTCTTGGGTGTGCTGTTCCCACTGACCAGTATGCCCCTGTGCTAGGCCAGTTCATATGAGTAGCCAGTGTGAGCTGAGTAAGGTGATTAATGTCCCTAGAATAAGGAAAATAATACAGATTACAGTAATTTTAACAAGGTTAATTCGCACGGGAAGGGCAGGAACCAACATTGTGGGGGATGTGCCCACAGCTCATTCAGCTGACCTCACTGTAGAGTGCAAAGGTAGCACACAGAATTGGGAGTTCTTTGGAGCAGGGTAGAGGCCTAAGATTCTAGAACAAGGGGATTTAAACCGCTATAATTTACGCTAGGACGTGCAGCGAGACGAGGCACGTGCATGGGGCCAAAGAGAGGAGGGGTTATTTCCGTAAAAGGTGCATGTATCAGAGTCTGGGAGATGAGGCTGGGACCCAGAATAGAGGTGATTGTGGCGTGGCATTAAAGAGGGTAGTAGCTGTGGGAGCGTTTATCATGATGCTGTTTATCTGTGGGCCAGGGTCCACCCTGCAGTGACCCCAGCTCTCATTCACCTTCTGTTAGGTCAGTTGGTTCCTGCTCAAGTAGCGATGAGTCGTGTTATTGCCAGGGGTCACGTAGAGGAATGGCTGGTGTTCTTTTGAGTGTCTGGTAGGGTTCCTGATGAGGAGGACCGTTTAGGAGGGCTGAGGAAGAAAGCGAGGGTGACTTCGCAGGGCGTGGTTTGGGCTGCTGCTCCAGGTGCCCCATTGGATGCCCGTCCTGACCCTGGGCAGCAGCACGGAGAGGCCTGGTGTTGGCCAGGGTGAATCATGTTCCCGGTTTGTGCTGATGAAGAACGGGTATGGCATGGGGCTGGAATTCACATGGACAGTGAGCGAGGGCCAGTGCTGGGGCTGTGGGAAGAGGGACACTGAGCCGCCAGGGGTGGTGACTTCAGGGTGGGGATGCTAGGTGAAGGGGTAGCAGATGGGGGACATGGAAACACAGTGAGACCCTCGTGCTGGGACGGGGCTGTTAGTGAGGTGGGCAGGTCCCCTCTGAGGCCTGGAACCTCAGGTGGCCACTCTGGCTCCATGCTGAGCAGTGCACATCACAGTACCACAGCCTGTGGCAGCTTCAGCTGGGCTTCTCTGCAGACCAGCAAACTCGCCCCGAGATTCGGGGTTCCCAGCCCCGAGCGCCCGGCTCCCTTCCCTCCCAGAGCACTGGCTCCCAGCTGGCCACGCCTGGCTCTCAGGTGCCCAGTCCCATGGTACCAGGACAGTGCTGTTCCTGAGTTTGAGCTGCTGGACAAGACCGGCCCAGCCTGAAGCTGGGATGCTGGGCGAAGGGTGCCAGCTGACCAGAGGTGCCAGTGACTCAGCACCCTCCATGACTTCTGTCCTGGCTGCGGGGCATCGAGTTACTGGCGGCACCTGGCTCCTGCACTGTCCCGGGCAGTGGTGTTGCAGGAAAGGCTCCATGCCCTTCCTTTCTCAGAGCCTCAGTTTCCCCACTCCCAAAGCGAGTCTGGGCAGTGGAGTGAGGCCCCCGAGCGGCCGCTTCCTCAGGCCTGCAGGAAACAGCAGAGTGGGTGAACGGGGCCAGGGAGACCTCCCCACCCCAGCATGAGTGGACAGGGGCGTGGTTCCTGGGGCTGCCGCTCAGCACCACGGGTCCCCTAATATGCTGCTTCTTCCCCCCACACTGAACCTGCTGAACCCAGAGCCTCCAGGCCTGCAGTGCTCCAGGCAGAACACAGACATGGACAGGAGTAAAGTTCGTTTATTAGGCTGAGAGTGCGGGAGGGCAGAGCACCCAGTGTGGACCTGCAAGTCCAAGGACCGTCAGGTTTGGCACCCAGGACTTTCCCCCAAGGGGCGGCTCTGCCCCATGGAGCCTACACATGGAATCAGAGGTCACTGCGCACAGGAGGCTGAGCCCTGGGCACCCACGCGCGTTCGGTTAGGTCCACCAGCTGCACGCCCTGCCAAGGCTCTGTGCTGACTTCCGCTGAGGTTAAGAGTCAAAAGCATCTGCAAGGTAACAGTGTTTCAGCGTCTCCTGGGTAAAGGGCTCCCCGGATTGGGCAGAGGGAGTGCTGGCTTGTTTGCTGTAAAGCCTGCGCATTAGGGGTGAGGAGTATGATCCACAGAGTGGAGGACGCGCCTGGTCTGGAGCTGGCTAGCTCGGGAAACCCCGTTCCACCAGGGCCAGCGTGCAGGCAGCTGAGATGCTGGACAACTACTTTCTCGGGGCACCAGGTTGTCACCTGGGCCACGTAAGCTGGCAGCTGCTCTGCAGGGAGCCATACCCCAGCCCAATCTTGGTCAAGTGCTCCGCAGAGCTCTGAGTGGTCAATTTCTTTTTTGAGGGGCACGGGCTCCAATGTCCTGTGCCCATGACACTGTCACATCCATTTTCCATGGTACTTTTAGAAGGATGATGTTTGGATCATCCACACACACACAATGAAGTGGTTTCTCGTGGAGCATCTTGGGGGTGCACCTGAAATCCTGGTGGCTCTGGGCGGCACAGGCCATGGCTGGGATCCATGTGGGGAGCCTCCTGTGGGCTTCCTATCTGGCCACACGACGTGAGCCAGTACCCGATTACCCAGGTGACAGGAAGGACAGACGTCAGAGGAAGAACCGGAATCCGTAACACATGCAGGGCTGGCAGGCGCCGGGAATGACCTAGGATTACCGCGGACGGCAGCCTCGGGGGCGCTGAGGGGCGCTACTGGAAGTGGAAGGACAGGGGCCGGGGGGTCATGAACTCCTTCACCATCTCGTCGGTGACCTCCTTGCGCCGGGCCTGGTGCTCGGCGATCAGGGGCTGCAGGACGTCAATGAGGGTCTTCTTGAGCTCTCCGGTGAGCATGGCCCCGCTGGTGTAGTCCTGTGGAGGGAAGGGGAGCTGAGCGGGCGGCCCCGTCCCTGGCTCCGTCCCGCCTGGCTGCCCCTGCGGACCAGCATGACGGCCCCTGTAGCAGTCGGCTGTGCCTTTCTGGACACTTCTCTCCCTGGGCCAGTGACCTGCCCAGTGGTCAGAGGGACAGCAGGCTCCTGTGTCTGCCCCTGCTCTGTGGGGACATCACCCGGGGGGCGCTGACCCACGATCGCCCCGGCCCTCAGCCCCACTGGCCCTGCAAAACCCCTGCTGACGTCTTCCCCACCGCCAGACGGCCGCCGCCAGCTCGCCACCTACAGCACGGGTGCCTCTTTCTTTCCTCTCCTGCTGCGGAGGGAGTGGACGTCGGTGTCCCACATGCTGGGAAGGGCTCTACCCGGGAGCAATGTCCTCAGCCCATTCTACTTTGTATTTGCAACAAACTACAATGTCTGTGGCCTCAAACTCTCGATTCTCCTGCCTCAGCCTCCTGAGGAGCTGGGGTTTCAAGTGCGCGCCATCACATCTGGCTAAAAAACTCTATTATGTAGCTCCCACATGTGAGACAATCCCTAAATAACCCGCCATCAATCAGTGAAATCAACGATGTAACTGACAACCTATCAACAGAGAAAAGCCAGGCTCTGATGGAGTCACTGCTGAATTCTACAAGAAATTTAGAGAAGACCTAACACCACTACTTCTCAAACTCTTTAATGAAATGGAAAGGGAAGCAACACTCCAGAAGACACTGCTGGAAGCAAGCATCACCCTGATACCAAAACCAGAGAGGATGCAGCCAAGGAGGAGAATTACAGGCCAGTCTCCCTAATGAACACTGATGCAAAGATCTCCAAACGTGATACTGGCAAACAGACTGCAACAAACTGTCAAGAAGATTGTACACTGTGACCAAGTGGGATTCATGATTCAACATACATAAATCCATAAATGTAATGCACCATATTAGCAGAGCCAAGGGCAAAAATCATATGATCATCTCAACAGATGCAGAAAAAGCTTTTCTTTTTGTCTTTTTTGAGACGGGGTCTCGCTATGCAGTTCAGGCTGGCCTTGAGCTCACTTTGTAGCCCAAGCTGGTCTCGAACTTGCAATGATCCTCCCACCTCAGCCTCCCAAGTGCTGGGATTACAGGTGTGAGCCACTGCGCCTGGCTAGGAAAAGCTTTTTGACAAAGTCCAGAACCCATTCATGATTTAAAAAAAAAAAAAAACAAAAACAAAAACAGAAAAATAGATGTTTTTTACCTCAATCTGATAAAAAAGCCATCTATAACATACCAACAGCCAACATACTACTAAATGGACAAAAACTGAAAGCTTTTATTCTAAAATCAGGAACAAGACAAGATGTCACTGTCTCTACTCTTTATTCAACAGAGTCCTGGAAACTTTAGTTGGAGCAATTAGACAAGAGAGAGAAATAAAAGCAATAAAATAGGAAAGGAAGAAGTTAAACTCTATGTGCAGATGGCATAATATTCTACTTAGAAGACCCCAAAAACCCCACCAGACTCCTAGATTTAATAAGCTGTGTAGCTGGATACAATGTCAGCGTTCAAAATTCAATAGCCTGCCAGTACACAAATAACAAACTCACTCAGAGAAATCAGGGAAACAATACCTTTTACTATAGTGTCCAAAAAAATGAAACATCTAGGAATTAATCTAATGAAAGATGGAAAAGACCTCTACATTGAAAACTACAGTGCTCTGAAAAAGGAGATTGAAGAGGACATTAGAAGATGGAGAGAGATCCTGTGCCCCTGGGTGGGAAGAGCCACTGTAGTGAAAATGGCCATACTTCCCAAACTGTTCCACAGATTCAGTGCAATCCCAGTCAAAATTCCAATAGCATATCTCACAGAATTAGAGGAAACAATCCTAAAATTCATCAGGAACCAGAAGAGACCTAGAATAGCAAAGGCAGTCCTGGGCAACAAAGACAAGAGGGGGGGTGGAGAATCAGGATCCCTGACTGGAAATTATACTACAGAGCTACGGTGATAAAAACAAAACAGTACTGAGGAAAAAAACAAACAGATCAGAAGATGCACAAAACTGGACCCATATCTTCTACCACATACTAACTGAAATCGGAATGGATCAAAGATCTTTTTTTTTTGGCATCACGGATCAAACTCATGACCTCATGCTTGCCAGGAAAGTGCTTATGCTGCTGAGCTAAATCCCCATCCCCTCAAAGATCTTGATATTGTAACAGAAACATTAAGTCTGCTGGAAGATAGAATAGGTAAAACTCTTGAAGACATTGTGTAGGCAAAGACTCTATGAACAAAACCCAGATTGCATAGCTTTTGCACAGCAAGAGAAACCACCAACAGAGTGAAGAGACAACCCACCACGTGGGAGAAAATGTTTGTCAACTGCTCTTGAGACAAAGGATTACCGTTGAGAACATATAAAGAGCTCAAAAAAAAAAAAAAAAAAAAAAAAAAAATCAGTTCTCTGGGTTTAAAGTCTCAATTCAATATGGGCATCTGAGATGAATACACACTTCTCAGATGAAGAAATACAGAAAATAAATATGTGAAAAAATGTTCAACATCATGGGTCATTTGAGAGATGCAAATTAAAACAACACTAAGATTCCACTCACTCCAGAAAGGATTGATTTTATCAAGAAATCAAGCAATAACAAATTTTGGCGGGGCTGTGGGGAAAAGGGACCCTTCTCCACTGTGGGTGGGAGTGTAGGCTGCTGCAGCCACTGTGGAAATCAGGGTGGCGGATCCTCAAAAAACTGGACTAGAGGTCCTACTCCACCTAGCTATTCTCCTTTAGGTGTCTTCCTAAAACAATTAAGGACATCATACCACAGTGATGTTGTGCACCCATGTCTACAGCAGTACAGTTTGTAATAGCCAGATCTTGGAAACAATCAATCCAAATGCCCACTGACTGAGGAATGCATAAAGAAGATGCCCTATTTTTATACGATGGAGTACTACTCAGCCATCAAGGATAAGCGGGAGACTTTTATACTGAAATGGATGCCCCTGAGACCATACTCATTAGTGAAACAGATCAGACACACACGTGTGGACATCGTATTGTCTCACTAGTGTGAGAAGCTGAAAGAAACAACATGTGTATGTGTATGTAGATGGATACAGAAAATCCTTAAGCTAGTTGTACTACTGATTTCTCTGAGTTCACCCAGGAGGAAGATCTGTTTGGACAGCCGAATGCAGATGCCCTGGGTGATGATCTGGGGATGACCGTGCACAGTGTATGCACCACAGTTGCCCCGATTGACATGTTTTGAACCTTTTCCTTTAGTTTTTTTTTCTCTTTCTCCTTGAAATAACATGCACTTGGAAAAAAGAAAAAAAATGGATTTGGAAAACAAACCAAACACCGCCGTTGCGCTGTTTGCCGTCGCCAATGCTTCAGTCCCACGGTTCCCTTGGAGGACTCCACCACTTGGAGAATCCAAGGCCAAGGTTCTGAGCCCTTCCCAGCTGTGTCCACAGCCGAGCTGCTCAGCCAGCGGCCCCAGGGCTCTGCCCGCGTGGACGCCCGGGCCACGTGCAGGTGCTGGAGTCACAGCCCTGCCCCCTCCGCGCTCCGATGGCAGCCCGCCCAGCTCACCTTGCGGATCTGCTCCAGCCGGTCATCGTCCTCCAGGAAGAAGGTCAGGTACATGAAGGACACGTCCACGTCACAGTTGCCCCCGAACTGCCGGTGCTCCTCCACGGTGTCCCGGCCTCCGGAGAACGCGTGCTTATTGACCTGTGTGTGGGGAACAGGACTGTGTCACCACAGTTGGCATTCGGGGCAGCCGGGCTAGGCAGCAGATGGGTTATGGCCCTAGGAAAATCCACTGCTGGGAAATCCTGGGTGCAGCCGAATCAGGGCAGTGGCTCGCGCCCTGGGCAGAGCTGCTGAGGAGTAAGTGGCTGTCACCTTCGGGGGGTGCTCCCTGGCTGGTGCAGGGCTGACAGGTAGAGATGAGACGGGGAACACGACAGGGCTGCCAGGCCCACCAAATGGAGGAGGCCAAGGCCTGCGGGCGTGTCCACTCAAAAACAGGTGGCGTAACCCTAAAACTAACAACACAGACAGGGGCATGGTGGCTGCCCATCGCAGCAGGGAGGCCGAGGCAGGAGAACTGCTTGAATCTAGAACATCAGGAAAGATCAGTTTGGGCAAAATAGTGAGAGCCCCACCTTGAAACCAATGAAGCAAAATAAAACCAACAAATAATAAATGAAGACCAGCTGGGCCCAGGAGGCTAAGGAGCAGGGTCATCTGGAGTTTGAGGCCAGGCTGGGCTACACAGTAAGAACCTGCCTCAGACGCCAAAACACAAATGAAAACCCAAAGCCACCGGATGGGAGCCTGCCCGAGCCTGCATGGCTCTGTGCTCTGCCATTGCTGGCTGTTGGTCAGGAGACCGCAATGTGATGCTACCGGCCAGGGAAAGGCCAGCGAGGGCTGCGAGCCCTGAACGAAGACTTGGGTTGTGGCGCCACTGATGCGGCAGGAAGTGACAGGAGCCACAGGACCCACACGTGCTCGCCCTGGGGGGCAGGAGGGGTCCTGGGAGATGGGCACCAGGGCCGGCTCCCGAGCCTCGGGCTGGGCGCTCCTGTCTCAGCCTCCTCCACCTTGGGGCGGGAGTGTGCCGTGCACAGAGCCAGTGCCCTTAGACCTCACTTGCCTGCTCTTTGGGCCCTTTGGTGGTGACAGTTCATGCAGCAGTCGTGCTTGGGCAAAGGTGGGTGCCAGCTGTGATGGAGGAGACAGGATGCCCGCTTGGGGTCGCTATTGCCCTCACAGGACAGTGAGGCACTCAGAGTCATGAGTGGCCTATGTAGTTCAGGCTGTCCTTGAGCTTGCAATCCTCCTGCCTCAGCTTCCCTACTGCCAGGACTACAGTGCCACGATGCCCTGTGGCACGAGGACCTGAGGCCTGGCCCGGCCACCGCCAGCTGGCTGCTGGGGAGTCTGGCTCTGTCCAAGGGCCTGCGTGCGTCCTGGTTCCAGCTCACGCAGCCCTCCCAGCGCCGGAGGCTGCTCCTTGAGAAAGGTCCTTTGTGGTCACTGGGCTGCTTGGGACTTCCCAGTAGGGTCAGGGTCTCGGCCAGTACCAGTGACTGTATTCAGCTGTTCTGTGCCCCAGCAGCTCAGCATCCGGTGACAGATCAGGCTGAGAGGCGAGGGGGTCTCTATCTAGTGTCCCGGCACCTGAGGAGCCCTGCCTGAGTACCGTGGGCTCCATCAGATGGGCTGCTGCTGTCTTAGGAGAGCTCTCCAGGCTGCCCTGGGTGCTGTGCCTCGAGCCGCCTGCCACAGAGCACAGAGGGCAGAGCACATGAAAGGCAGGCCAGGTACCATCCCTGCACTTAACCGGGAAACTCGGAGATTTCCATGGATCATGATGCTGTTTTCAGACCATAGTGTGGGCAGGAAAACCAGAAAGAAAGAAAGGAAAAAGCCAGATTTACCTCAGCGAGAGGAAACACAGCGAGCTCCCCGCGGCCTGGGAACTGGCCCAGCTGCCTCTAGCTGTGCAGGAGCAGAGCAGGGGAGCGAGTGTGCGCTGGGTGTGAGCACACACGCCTGTGCCCCTGCCCCGCCGCTCACCTTGGTCTTGATCTGCTTGGCCGAGTCGGTGAGGAAGATGGAGGAGTTGGGGTCGCTGGCGCTCATCTTGGTCTGGGCGCCCTGCAGGGCGGGGAAGAAGGTGGAGTGCAGCAGGGCTGGCTTCGGGTAGCCGATCCTGGGGGCCACGTCCCGCGTCATCCTGAAGTAGGGATCCTGGGGACAGAAGAGGGCTGAGGTCGCTGCGGCCTGCGCAGAGCACTGGCCCCGACCCCGGCCCCGGCCCGTGCCGCCGCTGACCTGGTCAATGGCACACGGGATGAGGCACTGGATGTCCGTCCGGTCCCGGAAGATCTGCGGGAACGAGTTGCTGAAGGAGGGCGCGGCCTGCACGGCGGGGAAACTGATCTTCCCTGCAAGTGAGGGACACACGGTTCACACAGCCCAGACGGCCCGTGCTTCCCCGCCTGGGAACACGCTCGGAGAGGCACGGACCAGGAGTGTCCTGCCCGACACCCAGCCGTGGGGAGCCTGAGACACTAATGGCAACCGGAAACCCAAGGACGGAGGAGGAGAGACTCCAGGGCTCCAGGGCCCGGCACACCCAGACACTGATTCTGTTTAGGAACAGTGATGTGGTTTAACTGAACTGTTAGGATTTTTCTCTTTGACACCAGTTTTGCAGCCACTTGAGAACAGAGACGCCTGTGCCTGGGGCTGTCCCGGTGGGCTGCTGCAGTGGTCAGCAGCTCCTCCCCTCCCTAGGTGTGGGGAGAACCTGCAAGTGGCTGCGGTGTCACCAGAGGCTGCTTGTGGGGCTCCCATGCTGCCCAGGCTGGCCTTCCTATTGGGCTCTTCCTACCTTGGGCTCCGCCTCCTGCTCCGTTCTGCAGTGACTCTGAGGGTCACAGCCCTGCTCCAGGCTAGGCTCAGGTTTTCCTTCTGACCTAAGCCCCGCAGTGCCCGGCCCCAGAGAGGGGTACTTTGGTCAAATGTTGCTTTATGCCGCCAGCAGGGACAGAACCCATGTCTTGCACATTTACCCAAGAAGCCTGGCACCTCTGCCCCCCAGGCCCCAGAATGGAGGCTTTGGCACTGTCGTCCTCCCCTTCAGAGCTCTGCTCCTCCCCGGAAGGCAGCCACGGGCACCTTCCAAATCCCCAAATCCCCGTACCGATGCAGTCGCTGTCGGTGAAGCCGAAGATGCCCTTCACCTGGTTGAAGGTGACGTGCTTCTGAATCTTCACCACATTCTTGTAGAAGCCTGGGCTCATCCTGCAGAGATGAGGGGAGTCAGCCCCAGCCCGAGAGTCCTCCCTCTGGGGTAGGGGGGTAGCCTGCAAACTGATGTCCTGCTGGGTGGGTGTGGGGGCCCACACCTGGAACCCCAGATGCTGTACCTGGGAGGCTGAGGCAGAAAGGTCCCGAGTTATAGGCCAACCTGGGCCACAGGGCGCCTGGTCCGCCACAGTGAGTCAGCGGCTACTGTGCTGAGGTGCCAGCCTGGCTCTGGAGGGGACCAGAGGCCGCGGCAGGGGGATGTGGGGGAGCAAGCAGGTGGTTCAGGTCACATTAAGGCATGAGAAACAGAGCCACGACCATGACGACCCCCACAAGGCCACTAAATGGCAGGACCCTGATCCCCTTTCCTCCCTCCAAGGACGCCCCAGGGCCTCATGACTGAAAGAAAGTCTAATGGGTGAGAACGAAGGTTAATTACCTTCCTAAGGGTTGTCTCGGTTATGCATGTATTTTTCTGGTCTGTGATGGGCCAGCTCCCAGGCAGGGTGGCATGGCACAGGGGCACCACTGAGGAGCCTCCTCCTCAGTGTTCCTTATCTTCTGTCAGGTACAGGTTCAGGGCAGGCAGCACCCACACCCATAACTACGCCAAGCCAACCCTGGGCTAGTGCAGTCACCACACAGCCTGGGTCCCAGCGTCATGAGCGCAGAGCCAGCCACTTCTGATGGCATGAGGTGCTGGGGGACGCCAGACACAGCTGGCTTCTGTCTCGGACCCAGAGCCTTGGCAGGTGTAAAGGGAGCGCTTGGCCTCGAGCAGTCACGGGAGGGAGCCCTGGGGACTGGCACTGGTACGAGATGGCCTGGCCCACACAGGACGGTGCCCCCCGGGGGCAGGCAGGTGCTCTGCCGCTGCCCTGCGCTCCAACCCTTAGTTCTGAGCCTCAGGTTCGGCCTCTCTTGATGACGACTGATGAGCCTTTCTTTTTTGACTTTTTGAGACAGAGTGTCGCTATACAGTTCAGGCTGGCCTTGGGCTCACTTTGTAGTCCCGGCTGTTCTCAAACAGGTGTGCGTTTGAGAACACCATGCCTGGCTGATGACCTTTTTTTTTTTCTAGACTACTGCTTGGTAATCACTTGGGATGAAGCTGGTGCCTCAGAAATTTACCTTCCAGAATTTTTAGCCAGGCCTGTTGGTGCTGGCTAGATTATTATAGTGAGACCCTGTGTTACGGTTTGTCTGGATGTCCCCCCAGCCCTCCCAAGGCTCACGTGCTCATGGGGGCGGGAGTCTGGGAGGCGACTGAATCTAGCCTTTGTGACTGGTTCCTTGTCTAGTGCTGGGGGCGGCCTGCTTTCGGTATCAGGGAGCAAGAGAGGCTTGTTCCCCGCCTTGGGCTCTTGCTGCTTTTGCCATCTTCTGCCACCATGAACTGTTGCCCTCCGCCAAGCTGCCCTGCTTTGGAGCCAGCTGATTATGGACTGAAAACCTCCACAAACTGTACGCTAAATAAACCTTTCCTCCCTCAACTTTGGGCACCGGGTATTTTGTCTCAGCAATGAGAAAAGGAACTGAGACGCCCTATCTTGAACAGAATAAACAGAAACCTCCACACAATAAAAAATTTTCAGAATGAAGTATGTTGACCTGTTAAAACACTGAATTATGCTGGCATGGCAGTGCATGCCTGTAACCCCTGCCCTCAGGAGGCTGAGGCAGGAGGGTCCCCATGAGTTTGAGGCCACCTGGGACACACAAGTGAATTCTGGGGCAGCCTGAATTTCAGTGAGACCCTATCTCAAAAATACCAAAAACAAACAAACAAACAAACAAATAAAAAAAATCCCAATCAACCAGCCAACAAAAAATTCCACACAAAACAGTAAAAAACCTCTACAAAACTCCAAAAAAGGCTGATATAAAAACTGTACTATCCACTAGGTGTGGGGATACAGGCCTATTATCCCAGCATTTGGGAGGCTGAAACAGGAGGTTTGCTGCAAGTTTGGAATCAGCCTGAATTACACAGCAAGATGTCTCAAAAAACAAAGCAAAAGGAACAGAACTATTTTCCAAGGAAAACGTTCACCAGGCCGCAGGTCCCCATGGCCGTCCCGGCCCTGCGGTGGCCACGGTGCCCTGCGGTCCGCACTGCCCCTCACCCCATGTACTCCAGGTCGGAGAAGATGAAGGTCTTGTTGATGTCGAAGCCGCAGGCGATGATGTCCTTGGCGTTCTCCAGGGTGTAGCCGTAGGCCTGCTCCAGGGTCAGGTCCTTCCACAGGTACTTCTCGTCGTCGGACATCTGGACCACCAGGGGCACGTTGAACACGTCCTGCAGCCACCTGGGGTGGGGAGCTGGCTATGAAACCGCGATTTTACCCTGCTACACACCATCCTGCAAGATGGGCCTGGCCGGCTCTCAGCGAGAGCTGGACACGGGCACCTGAATGGTCTCAGGCACCTGGGCTGAGAACTGCCCGCGCCCCGCAGGAGAGTCCGTGCTGAGGTACTCACTTGGTAAAGATGAACGGGATGAGGTGGCCGACGTGCATGGCTTCGGAGGAGGGGCCCCGGCCCGTGTACAGGTAAAACGGCTTCCCGCTCTCATAGGCGTCCAGCACTTGGTTCATATCTCTAACGCGGAAGGAGACAGGAGAAGCGTGATTCCCGGGCGGGCGCGTTTGGAAGTGAAAAGGAAAGTCGCACAGAACCACAGCGATCACCGCTGAGCCCGTGGCTCTGGTGCACCCGCAGGGGTGACGGGTGACGGGGCCCTTCCCGGGCGCACCGCTGTTTGAGAGATGGCGGATGCGGGCCTTCACGTGGGGTGAAGGCAGCCGCAGGGACTCTTGTTATCAGTGTGGACAGCGGTGGTGCTTTCACACTTCCCTGGTGTTTTACACTAGTCATTTGTTTGTGACTACGGTTTGCTCAGCACCTGTCTGCAGCACCTGACGGCACTGTGCAGGTGCACACTTCCACACCTCGATTCTCTGCACTGCCCCTTCCCTGACTGGCTCCTCCTCCACCGCCTGGTGTTTCCGGACAGCTCCCAGAGGAATCCCGGCTCAGCAGGATGAAACCAACCCCCACTGCCGCAGATGAATGTCCTCTGTGGGGGCAGTGTCCCACAGCGGGACAGGAGCAGCCACCTTTCCCAGAGGTCTGGTAGGACACTGCAGACCACAGCCATCTGCAGTGGACGTCCTCGAGCCCCAAGCCACGGGCAGTGCTGGTTTGGTGCTCACGGGGTCATGGCCCTCGGGGCTTTCAGGTCGTTTTGGACGCTGCTTTTGCAGTAAGAAAAGAATCCAGGAACTGAAGTATGAGGTCTCGGACCTCAGGGGAATCAAATGGTCCTACGGGAATGCCGGGGACAAGGGTGTGACCCAGGTACTGATATGGGGACAGGCTGGACGTCTGCTACAGGAGTTCCTGCTCCTTGAAGCTGAAGAATGAATTCTAAACAACAACAGAGGTTAAGACTAGGAAAATGTGTTGGGAAAAGAAATGGGACACAGGACTGGGGAACAGGTAGCTCCTGAGGGACAGGAGGGTAACCTGATGGGCTGCCGGCGAATCCCGAGGCGGGTACAACGTGGGTCAAAATTACGATTACCAGTAAGACTTAAGTAGAGTGGCCTAGGTAATACTGACCCTGTGGTGCAAAGGTGTATGGGCAGTGACACTGTTAACCTCAGCCATCACTTATGTGTTTGGTCTTGTCTTCCCATCTTAGTCTTGGGGGTGGGAGCAGATGGCCTCTGCCTGTGAGACACCGGGCAGTCTCAAAAGGGTGACCCTAACAGTCTCCAGCTCTGTTTACCCCACGGGGAAGTATCTAATCTAGCCCCTCTGACTAGCTTGGATTCCTCCTCATCTTGGGTACTGACTCTTCTGAGAGGGCCCAGATTGGTCTGACCGCCCACAATAATTCTACCGAAATCAGCCGTCTGTAATAGTATTAGATCATCTTCTGACACAGAGAAATACAGTACTGGAACCCATTCAAGAAGAAATGAAACCCAAATGGATGTTTAATAGGCAAAAAGACTGAGCAATCAGAAAACTTCCCCGCTGAGAAGTCCAGGATGAAATGGCTTCATTGGGAACAGCATTTCCTTCTCTTTCCTCTGTGTGTGTGTGTGTGTGCTGCAGGCTGGACTCAGGGCACCCTGCCCGCGAGGCAAGTGGGGCAATACTCCTGCGCCACACCCCGGCCCCGCATCTCCGGATGTTTTCCTTCCAAGTCAAAAAGGAATTAGCACTTTGTGTGGTGATGTCATTAAAATATTTTAACTCAAAGGAAAAAAAAAAAGAGGAGTCACCACCACCCCTTCACAAACTCTTCCAAGAAGAATGAAGGGAAAGTATTATAGACAGCCAAGTGATTTAGGACTATGCCAGCCAGCCAGCCAGGGCTGCGCCCTCCACAGCACAGCGCAGAAACCACGGCGGCTGCAGGCACAGGCACAGTCCTCAGGACCCTTCCTCTGGGGTGAACGCCAGCGACTGATGCTGGGTTCTCCGAGGCGCTGGCTGGCCTGAGCTCACTGTGTAGCCCGGGCTGGCCTCCAACTCGCGTGATCTTCTTGCCTCAGCCTCCCACTGCTGCGACCACAGGCGTGAGCCACACACCCAGCCTCAGAAACTTTCTTCTTCTCAATAGCTATTTCCCACTCTTAACTCTTAATAATTAATTCTTTGATTTTAGAGAACACAAACCTGGTGTGCATCAGACACCTAGCAGGTCGGGATTTGTACTTCCCTCCCGTTACTTGGATTTTCATAGGTCCTACATCCAATCTACTTCCCAACTTAATCTTGGTGGTATGTACTATGCGCACATCAAAACCAGACAGACACCCAGTTACACACTACAGACAGAGTCCTCAACAGCTCACAAAGCAAACCCAGGAACATACAAAAAAGTGCACACAAGTTGGGATTTGTCCCAGGAATGCACGGCTGACTCTGCCTAATGAAGATCTGTCAAGGTATGGACAGACAGGGCTCCAGGTCTACATGATCATCTTAACAGGACGCAGAGAAGGATTTAAATCTAAATAAAATAAAAACACTGTCAACACAAAAACACTCAACAAATTAGCAATGGGAAAAACGAGATTAAGGCCCTGAAGGGCATTCACAGTAACACAATGACACAAATACCATCCCCCCGCCATCAGTGGGGACCAGGACCATGACAGTCACCCTGGCCATTACCGCTGTCACTGCCCGGAAGCTGTAGTCCGAGCAATTCAGCGAGAGAGAGAAAACCCAGCTGAAGGGTGCAGTTCACTGCTGGGGGAATTCTGCGTATAGAAAGTTTTATAGGAAACTCACCCACAGAGAAGGGGAGGAAAAAACACCCACTGGAGCTAATCCAGCGAAGCTTCAAGACATAAGAATCAACACACCAAGGCACAGCAGCGGTGAATACTCTCAAAATGAAATTAAGACAACGATATTTGTGATAGAATAAAATCAAATCCTCAGGAAATGTTGGGAGCCGCCGACACCGGTCGCCTTACTTGGCGGACGTAGGGCCTGTGGGTGGGAGCGGAGCCTGAGCTAGATTGCCCCTCCCATCGAGTGAGCCAAGTTGGCGCCTGCTTCCTGCCCCCTGATTGCCCTGGCGACGTAAGCAGCCCGCGCAATAGAATAGTCTGCCTAGCAACAACTGATGTTAGCCAATCAGCCCGCATCGCGCGCTTTGAACTGATTGGCCACTGTTACCCTATAAAAGTAAATGCCTCTCCCGCCACGAGGGAGAAGCACAGAGAGGAAGCACGAGAGAGATAGAGAAAGTCCACCAGCGAGAAAGGACTGGTGACAGAGAGGAGGCCTCGCGGGGCCCACGCGGAGACAAATAAAGGCAAGGTTGCACACCGCCAGACTTTGTCGTGCGTCTTTCCTGCCGGCCGGGAGCGACCCCGACAAGGAAAGATCTAACCCCAGAAGTGGGGAGCGCGCACACGGCGAGTGGAGAGGCGTCTGTGGACAGACGGTCTGTGGCCACAGCCTGCGGATGCAGCATCTCCAGACCGCCCTGGTCTCCAGACGGACGGTTCTACAGACCCGTGCCATCTCCACTGAAATCCCGGCTGCCTTATTTTCAGAAATAAAACAGGTGACCCCAAGTCATACGGAGATGCAGAGGACCTGGAGTGGGGAGGCGGAAGGACGGCGCACACTGTACGGGCTCCAACTCCCCACGGCAGAGGTCAGCCTCGTGGACTGCAAGTGTGGACACAGAAGAACATAGTTAAAATGTAAAAAATTTAAAAAATGCAAAGGACCCGGGACACGAAAACAACCTTGATAAAAAAGAAGGTTGGAAGCTTCTGGTTTTCTAGCTTTGGAATTTACCTCCTAGCTACGGTGGCGTGATCAGACCATAAAGACACAGATCAGTGGAACAGAGCTGAGAGTCTAGATTAAATGTCTAAGTACACGTTTGGTTTACTTTCAGATGTCAAGAAAACCCAACAGGGAAAGAATAATCTCAAACGTGCTGCTGGGACAGCCGGGCAGCCTCGGGCAGCCTCGGCCTGACCCCTTCCTAGACCCCGTTCCCCTGCACCGAGCCAGGATGCAGCTGCCCCTTTCCTGGGGTGCCGTCTCCTCTTGACTCCCTAAACAACTGAAGAGGGAGGAGTGCTCCCAGTGGCTATTGCTGTGGGCCCCCGCCGGACGCCTCCGGCAGCCCAGCAACTTCCTGCCTGTGGCACCTGCCCCTGCGTGTCCTATTTTGTGCCTAGGCCCAGGCCCAGCTGCTCTCCATCCTCCCCGTGAACCCCTCCCTCCAGTCACCTTTTCCTCCCTGTCTCAGCACTGCTCCCCAAATAACCACTGTCCTAAGGCCCCAGGACGCCACCCTGAGCTCTGAACCATCTGCTGCTTCCTCTGCCCCCATTTCTACCCATGTAGCTGGCACGCCGCCTGTCCAGGGAATTCCCCTCTCCCAGCCTTCTGTGCCCACCGGTGGCCCACGGGGTGAGCTCAGCTCATGGGTGCCTCGGGACCCCACTGAACTGAGGCAGTGGTGCTGGGTGCCGGGCCCACCTGAGGAGCGCAGGCGGCAGCGTAGGAGGGGCAGTGGAGGGGAAGGGGCGTGCTGTGGACGCTCCTGGGGAGGCGGGTCACACTGGCTGTCCTGAGCATCAGAAGAGCTCGGGTCCGCACTGTCACTGAAGATGGAGCTCTGGTCTTTACCCTGACCTTCCTCCCTCCAGCACAATCCCTCAGCCTGCTCGAGCAGACTTTCCAGCTTCCACCACTGACCTCTGCTTTTGGCCTTCCAGGGCAGATCTCGATACAGACTTGAATGAGACACTGCCACGGGCTCTCAGCCTCCAGCTGGACTCCCAGAGGACCCACCGGGGGCTCCAGGCCCTCAGCTGGACTCTCTGGACCTTAGTGTGTGGACAGACTTCCACACTCTTTTGCATTTGACTCTGGTTGAATATTATAAAATAGTCCTATAAATTACGTGTCCTCTACTTAATCTTTTTTCTAGTAAAATCCCGATTCCAGCATCAATCGTGGACAAGTGCGGTTCACGGCTCTGGTACACAGACGAAGCGACTGTTCCTGCCCAGAACTCTGCCCACCGACTGCCCTGCCATCCGCCTGGCCTGCCTCTACTTCCCTTCCCGTCACCATCTCTCTATGAACTCACTCACTGGCACTGAGTCACCCTGAGTTGTATCCCACATTTTCCTGTGCCCTATCATTAAAAAGCCCCTAGAATCTGTCCCCTGCACAGTACGTTCCTGATCAAGGGCTGCTCAGCCTCCAGAACAGGAAATCTTGAGCAAACCGCAGATGGACTGGTTGCAGAGATCTGACCTGAGAACGGCAGTCCGAGCTGCCTCGCTCTGTCCCACCTGCTGACCCCTCCTCTGGGAAAGGGGCTGCTCTGTCTTAGGGAAAGCCCGGCCTGGGTGCTCTGTGTTTATAATGGTGGCCATCTGTGGGCCATGGTATGTTCTGAGTGCACTCATGCATCTTCAGAAACTGGAAACTGCCGAGAGAAATAAAGTGGGCTCGTCGGGCAAACCCCCACAGCCTGAGAGGGCACCTGTGCCACTGTACGCTGTGGCATGGAGGAACAGGGCACAGGAGCAGGTGACACGGCGTCCCTCCTGGGACATCCCGGACAGGCAGGTCCCCAGCAGAGCGGCTGAGGCCGGGCAGGGGGAGGGAGAAATGGGGGCGACTGCTAATGGGGGAGGTGGTTCTTTTACTTAGAGGAAAGCGCTGTGTCAAGGTCGCCTGATCCTGTGAACGCACTGAAGGTCAGTGAGCTGGACACATTTAAAAAGTCGAGCTTTCCATGGATGAAATCTCCAGAAGAAAGCTGATTACGTGGGCTCACGGGGCCTGATCTCTCCTGGTTCAGGGCAGAACTCGGCTCCCACCTCAGCCCACGATCCCCCCAGGCAGCCGGGCGTGGGCCGCCCCAGCGGTCTCCTGGGGGTGGGAGGAGGAGGAGCCTGGTTCTCCCTGAGCTTTGCTGGCGGAGATTTATGGTCTGAGGAGGAACACTCTGTTCCATGAACCCAGCGCTGGTTTCTCTCAGCCACCCGCACAATGGGAGGAAGGCAGGAGGCAGGCTCAGGAAGCCTGCTGTTCACTGCAGGGAAACGTTCAGCCTGGGCGGCTCCGTCTCCTTTGTTCCGTGACCCTTTATAATTCATAAGGGGTGATATGGCACGAAGCTCGTGTGCTAGGACCTGACCTCTATCGCGTGAGGCGGGCAGCTCACAGATGGACACACAGGCCGAGGGCCTGCGGGAGCAGGGCTGAGTGTGACCGCAGCGGTGCACGGAGGGCAGTGTCCCCAGGTGAGCCCCACCACAAGGCTGAGAGGCGGGAGGTGCTGACCTGTGTGAGAAGAAGACGCCTCTGCGCAGGAAGCGGTGTGGCCGCTGCTTGGTGGCCCTCTCTATCCGGTTGATCAGCTCTTTGTCAATCTTACTGCTCCCGAACTGAACTGGAGAGAGAAGGTGGGAAGCATTGAGATGACCTTTTCAGAAGGCAGCAGCATCTGAGACCGACACCACTGCACAGAGGGCAAAGCTGGGGTCCCTGGACAACCTTTACTATTGTTGTTCTTTCTGAGATAAGGTCTCACTGTGTGGTCCAGGTTAGCTTTGAACTCACGGGGTAGCCCAGGCTGGCCTCTCACTGCCTCAGCCTCTGGGATCAGAGGTGTGAGCCACTAGCCCAGCTCTCCCTGGACAATCTTACTGACCCAGACCTCTTCAGGCATGGCAGGCAGGTGGACAGAAAGCCATGGCACGGGAGTGGGGACTACAGCAGCTCGAGCAGAAGCCGACAAGGGGGAGGGAGCGTGGGAAGCTTGGGTACAGCAGACAGGAGGACGCAGTGCTGGTGGCTCAGAGCACGGCAGACATGGTCATCAGCAGTCAGCACAGTACCGAGTACTTGCAACGGCTAGAAGACAGAACTCCAGTGTTGCTGTCACATAGAAATGACACTGTCGGAGGTGGCGAGCAGCTAATTACCCTGACTGGGTCATTCCCAAGGTGCAGCCGATGCAGGAAAGGCCACACTGTGCCCTTCCTAGGCTGCCCTGGAGCACGGGCAGTGCCTACCTATAAGCTTGTCATAGTCGATGCCTTTGGCGCTGCTCGTCCGCACTGTCCACGGGTCCACGAAGTCCTCGCAGTCCTCCTGGCCACCCTTGGTCCCAGGCGCCAGGGTTCCCGGGGGGCAGTCAGGGTTGTAATCCTCCCCCACGGTGGCTTTGTAGTTCATTTTTAATGACAAGAGCAACTTGACTGCAGAGTCGATGTCATCCTGAAGAAGGAAGGGCAGGGGAAGGTCAGGAGAGGAGCAGCGCCTCACGCCCTCCACTATGGCCCACCCTGCACGCCGCCAGCCTTGGGACAGCTCTGGGAGACGGGCACTGCCGGGACTGCGCTGCCAGCCTGGCTCGAAGCCCCACTGCCCTGTCAGACGCGTTCTAGCCATGGCTTCCTGCATGCGCAAGGGCGGCGGGGCTTGGACCCAGGCTGGAACGCATCTTACTTCGCTCCCTCCCTCCCTTCCTCCCGCACTATGAGTTCCCCCCACAGGACAGCGGGAGTGACGCGTGCCTGGTCACTGATGCCAAGGTCAGTATGTTGAAGGTTCCCCATACTTCGAGGACGTGGGGAACACGGTGACTGAGGGCTCCTTCCCCGGGGTCGCCGACCTCTATCTGGGATCTGTTTGCAGGCCCTTTGCAGGCTGGGATGAATATTTGTGAAAACTTCAATAGCGGAGTCACCCAGAACCTCACCAGTGACCCAGAATAAAGGTCAGGAAAACAGGTAACTGCAGGGAAGATGTGCAGGCTCTCCGAGGTCATGCCACGACATTTCTGGAGTCTTATCAAACAATGTCACATGTGTGTGCACAAATGTTATTGTACAATAAAAAGGTCTCCTGGGATCGTGCAAAGCTCTGAGATACTTTGCTTCCAGAAGGCCCCTGCCCCGCCCTGGCGTGCAGGCAGCAGGCCTGGTCCAGCCCACTGGCAGGTCACAAGCGAGGCATCTGCACTGCTCAGTCTGCTCGCCAAGGGAAACGCCAAGGTTTCTACTCGGGTTCACAAAGAGTGTGCCTTCCTGGTGGAAGATGCCACCCAGCGACCCCATCCCGAGGGAGCCAGGCCACGGGGGATTCTGATTTTGGGGGGTCAGTGCTTCGAACTACAGAAATGTCTGCAGTCTGTTACCACTGAGTTTGACTTGAGGAGGTCAATAGTTGATTTGTGGATAGGACACCTAGCAGAGACGAGACACCTGCCAGGTGAGACAGGTCTGACGTTCTCACCTGGGCTCCACTGCGCCAGGCCCCGAGTGTGCAGGAAAAGTGTTTGTGAGTGTACTTGAGTTATTTGGGGGAGGTACTCGAGGCTTTGAAGTGCACCTGGGTCAGTTCCTCTCCATTGGTGGCTGTGTGGACATTCTGTGCCCTGCCTGGCCTCCTCCTGCTTGCAGCTAGGAGGCTCTGGGAGGGCCAAGCGCTCAGCCACTATCCCTGTGTGGGGACGTGTGTGGTCTGCAGTGTGGCTGAAGTGGATGGTCACACTCACCCTGTCTGTTTTCTTGTTTTTAACCTAACGTGTCCAGGACACCGAGATGGAGTTTAAAGCCTAGTGGTATGAGAAAGACCCCAAGCTCATGTCCTGTGCTGTCACACAGGGACCGAACCACGCACAGCCTCAGGGGTGCCAGAGCCAGGGCAGGGGCTGAGGGTGACTCCGGAGCTGCTGTGCTGACTTGCAATGGGGTGCAGCTCACACAGCGCAGTGACCTGGTCAGGAGCTGCCTGCCCATGGTTGCTGCACTCCTCCATGTGAACAGGGTCCTGCCCAATACAGGCCAGTCCTTTTTTGTGTGTGTTCTGGGACTGGGAATTGAACCCAGAGCCTTTGTGCTGAACTACCCCAACCCCCTCCACTTTTTCGCAGTTCCAAATAGGGTCTTGCTAAAATGCCTGCACAGGGCTTGACTTACTGATCCTTCTGCCTCAGCCTCCCAGGGTGCTGAGATTACAGGCATGCACCTCCATGCCTGGCTAAGCCTGAGTCCTCTCTTTGGGCTCACTCAAACTGTACAGCCCCCCACCATGGTCTCCCTCAACACCCCCAGATTCTAGCCAACATGGCCTGTCAGCTGGGAAGGCACGGTGGTGCCTCATGTGTGGTCCGGCCCAGTGCACTTGCTGACCGCCAGGGTCTCCTGGGCAGAGGCGTCTGGAGGATCAGCAGCTTCCATGTACTACAAATGCACTTTGAGGTTGGACACAAACCTGTCTCTGCAGCTGTCACCCTCTCGCTCTGGTCTGACAGAAGCCTGTTATGAACCTGAAACTCACAGCAGTGACAGCAGGAGGCACTGTCCCCGTGTGGGTGCTCTCCTGGGACATCTGTGTAGGTCCCCTGTCCACCCCGGCCTGCAGGCACAAACCGGGCGGCTTGTAGGGAGCCCCCCCCCGCCCCGTTACATGCAGCACAGATCTGCTGATGACCACAAAGCCTTCCAATATCCCCTCAAAGAAAAAAAAGTACCTGCCAAGAAACTAACGATCCTGGAGTGGCCTTGGCTCACTTTGTAGCCCAGACACCTTGAACTCACAGCGATCCTCCTGCCTCCTGCCTCCGGCCTCTCGTAAAAATATTTGCTGTTATTCAAATTTAATGTTAAATGGACGGAAGGGAAAAAAGCCACCAGTGACGCCCCGAAATGGGCTTACAGATAGAGGGTCACAAGCTGGGCACAGTGGCACACCCCTGTACTTCTAGCTCTCTGGGAAGCCGAGGCAGGAGCTGCCACAGCGCGGGTCACACTGTGAGCTCTAGGGCCTTCTCATTAAGTTACACTTCTGGCCCTGTCATCGTTATTAGTGTCATTATTATTTTTGGGGGGCACCAAACATGGAACTCAGGACCTCACAGTTGGCTGGCAGGTGCTTGCAGCTGAGCTATGCCCCTGACCTGTCATCACTATTTCTGAGATGGGGTCTCACCAGCTGCCCTGTCTGCAGCCTTGAGTCTGCAACCTTCTTGCCTCAGCCTCTTGAGGAGGTTGCAGCACTGAGTTAACTCAAAATGTTTTAGCCAGGCATGGTGGCATTTACTTGCAATCAGCATTCAGGAGGCTGAGATAGGAGGATCATCGTGAGGTTGAGGCCAAACTAGGCTGCACAGGGAGCTCAAGGGCAGGCTGAACTACATAGTGAGACCCTGTCTCCAACAAAACAAAGCAAAACTTCCATTTTAAAACAGTTAGTCCAACACTGTCCAAGAAGACAGACTTTTTCTTTCTTGGTCTCCTTTTTTTCTTCTTTCTTTTTGGTACCGGGGATCAAACTCACAACCTTGCACCTGCCAGGTCAGTGCTTATGCTCTGAGCTAAGCCCCCAGCCTTCTTGGTCTTTTCAAGATGGAGTCTCACCATGCAGTTCAGGCTGACCTTGAACTCACAGTGGGGGTCCTGCCTCAGCCTCCCGAGTGCTGGGAGTATAGGTGTGTGCCACCACACCACTCAACACTGCTGAGACAGAGTGTTCTGTGGGGCGTTAATGGCACTGAGTCTGCTGCTGTAACACAGTTTTGATTGAAGCATTCACTGTATCTTTTGACCAACACTGACTGCTTAACCGTTCAAGGCAGTTCCTGTCAAATGGAAACGTTACTACCGTCTTCATCCTGCTTCCTCACCAGGTCCGGGCTGAGAGACTCCTGGCTCTTCCCCAAAGTCAAAGTCACCACGAAAGCTAAATAAAGGTTTGATGGACATCCAGGCCCCTGTGACAGCGCAGATAAGGACACTCACAAAAGCAGATTTCCCGAACTGCACCAGAAAGTGGCAAGAACCATGCTCCAACCAAAGGGGAGTAATGGCAGTGTGTCCATGATGATAATACATTTTTAAAAATTAAAAACTAAATACAAAAAACAAAAATCAACTTAGTCTAGGCCGGGCTTGGTGGTGCTCGTCTGTAATCTTGGCTCTCAGGAGGCCGAGGCAGGAGGATCGCTGGAGTTTGAGGCCAGCCTGGCCTACGTAGTGAGTTCAAGGTCAGCCTGAACTATGTAGTGAGATCCTGTCTCGAAAAACCTCCCACAAAACAAAGATCAGACTGACCACATTCATGCCACCTACTACAGCAATGCTAGAGAGATCCTTCAAAAGGATGCAAGCCACGAGGTCACAGGAAGCTGGAAGAGGATGATGGCAAGTGACTCAGACCCCGGTAGCCTGATGGGGGACTGAAATCCTCAGAGAGCAGGAAAAGGACCCCCTGGGCACTGCCGCAGGCACCCCGAGGTCGGGCAGCTGCGCCTAGGGGCTGAGGGACCGGGAGCAAGGGGCCTAAAATCCAGGTTCAAGGTCGGCTCCAAAAGGGCTGCCCTGACTCCTCCCTCCCTGGGGCTTCTGTGCTCCGAGGGGGCCACAGCACAGGAGGTCAGGGGCAGCAGAGGCTCAGGTAGCCCTCCCATCCCGCAGATGGGCGATGTGGACGCTGCACAGCGTGGACTCAGGGGAAGCCCCACTCTCCGGACGGTGGAGATTCCCCACCTGGAGCCAGCTGGCCACTGGCTCCCCAGAGATGGAGCACCCTGGCGGCTACCATGTAGGTGATGTGGTACCCCAAGAGGTGACCTACGAGGTGACCAAGGCTATGATGCCATCGGGTGACCGTCCTATGGGAGGGACCATAGCCGTCAGACTGGACCCTGTTACGTGACTGTGCACTACCACCAGGCAAGCAGGAATTAAGATGAATGTGAGCTCCGAGAAGACAGAGGTAGGCAGGGAGGAGAAGTGACCACTGTGCCAGGGGCTCGGCCACTCAGTACTGGTGACGAGGTGGCCGATATGGCCCTGCATTTCACAAGTGCCTGTATTTGACCCAGAAAAATGGAAAATCCCTCAGGGTACAAGTCTCATGAGAAAGGCAGAATGAGCTGTACCCACAGGAGAAAAATTAACCTGCTCAACAAAGAAGCAGGATACAGGCTCAGCCAAAAATTAATGTAAGAGTCTAGCTACATTGTTTCCCACAGGATGTCTTTTGTGATTCTCTCTTTTAATAACCCTGTAATTTTCTAGTTCAGGGACACTTGTTTGGACTCTGAAATGGTGGTGGCGGGGGTCTGTATACAAGCGGTCCTGAGCTCGGCTAATTAAATCCCAAAGCTGCTTGGATTCCTCTATTGTTCGTGAACCCACCTCAGTGACCTGCACTGTAATGGGAAGGTGGTCTGGGGGTGGGGAGTACTGGTGAACCACAAGCTCTTGATTTCTACACAGAAAGCCCCAACCTGAAAACCTCCCCAAGAGATCAGCTACAAGAATGGAACAGCTTGCACCCCCAGGAACAGGGGTGGGGTGGGGCGTGTGCAGACAGCGCTCCCCTCCCTCCCTGTGGTCACTCCTGCCTGGCCGGGGGCAGCCCTGAATGGGGCTCCTGGGCCTCCTGGGAACATGGGAGATCACATATCTCACACATCTTTAGACCAAAGGCCCCAGGCGGGTGGAAATGCTCCCATCACGGGACATCGCAGTTCCACAAGGGTGTCTCGGGGCAAGAGACAGAACCCACCTTTGGCGCCTTTGCGTCCTTGAGGGCCCGCACGCGCTCCCCCTGGGCCGCTATGCCGTTGAATAGCTGCAGCGGGGAGGCAAGCAGCTGGCTGTCGGGCTCGTCCGCCATCCTGAGGGCCGAGCTTCCGAGGTGGGGTCCGAGCACTGGCTGTGAGGTCAGGTCAGGACCAAGTCAGGACGACGCTGTGGGCGACAGTGAGGGGGACAGAGGTGAGTGGACCGGGGCAGTGAGGTACGGTACAGGAAATGCAGAAGGGGACACTGACACGAGACAAGCAGAAACTGGAGGCTGAGAGGAAGCCGGAACAGCTGCCCCAGAGCCCAGGCGGAGCAGGACGCTGGGGCAACTCGCGCTCTCCAGCAGCCGAGCTTCCCAGAGCCCGGGGCGCTTAGCAAAGGCCCCTGCTTGCCATCTTGTGGGGGGCCTCTCGGGCACAGCAAGCAAACCTGCCAGCAAGAAGCCAACGGCTCCTGGGGGCCTGCGGCTCTGCTCTGTGGCCCGGGGACCCCCCATAAACCTTGGAGGCTGGGAACTGAACCCAGGGCCTGCAAGGGGAGCTGCATCCCTTGCCTTTATTCTTTATTTTGAAGGTCTCACTAAATCGGTAAGTTGCCAGACTCGTGACTCCTGCCTCAGCTGCAGAGCGCCTCTCTCAGAAGGGGCTGCTGGGAGGAGGATGTGGGAACAGAAGCTGCGGAGCCCCACCAGCAGTCAGGCAAGGTGCAAGCCACTGTGGGTGCTGTCACCCTTGGTTCTGACTGCCAGGGTTCCAGAGGATGACGGACCTAGCTCTGCCTGACCCGCTGCACCCCTGGAACTAGGGCAAGGAGGGACAGCGGCAGAGGGGACGGCAGCTGACACCTGTTAACGCTGGGCAGCCCCGCTGTTCCTAGCATCACCTGAGCCATACCTGAGGAATCTGTGTGACAGGTCTGCCACCCCCGTGTTACAAATGAGCATGCAAGGGATAAAAGACTGGCTGGACATGGCAAGTACTAGGCGTCCCAGCTGGGAGATGAATCTATGTAGACCACCATCCTGCAAATGGCCAGACTCTGGGAACCAGGCGCACAGATCTGTGACTTGTTCCTGCTCATCCGTCGGGTACGTATTTGTTTAAAGGGTGTGTGAATTTTCTTTTTGAGATAGAGTCTTGCTATGCAGGTGGGGCAGGCCTTGGGCTCACTTTGTAGCCCAGGCTGGTCTCAAACTTGCAATGATCCACCTGCCTCAATCTCCTGAATGCTGGGATTGCAGGTGTGTGCCACCACGCCCAGCCGGATGCATGGGTTTAATGAGGCCAATCTTCACGTATATCAGGTCTCATATTGAAACCAGGTGGCCGGCAGCCAGTTTCTGAGTACTGCAATTCCCAGAAAGGAGAAGCTGGCCAGACGGGAGTGCCCACCGTCGGGGGTGCTGTGGGGTATGGAATGCAGAAGTAACTTCTGCTGGGGCCAGGGGGCAGACCTGACTCCACTCCTGGGGGAGGCGCTGAGCCATGAGTCACCCCAGAGAAAACAGAGCCCGAAGGTCACCTCTGCATGCGGCACTATCCCGAATCCCACCTCCCCCACGCTGGGTGTGATAATGTTGCCTCCACCAGCGCCTGGGTCACCCACCGTTCAGGGGAGTCACAGCCACATTTCTCAGGTTGGGGCCACCTCCTTCCTGGTCTCTGAGATCCGCAGCTGTCCTTCCTGCCTGGAAGCCTCACCGTGCTCCTCCACCATCCTCCCTGAGCTCTGCACCCTTGGGGTGACCATGCCCCATCCGTGTCTCTCTGGTACCCAACACACTGTTAGCCGATCAACACCCATGGAAAGATGAATCTCAGAAATCACTCAGTTCAACTCCTTTCACAAGGATTTTTACCAGTGCTGGCTCCAGTTCCCTGCCTGGACTTCTCGGGTAACATCGTGACACTGCACTGGGCCTTCCAGAATTCCCGGACAGCCGGGCAGGTCTCGATGTGTGCTCTCTAGGTCCGACTTCCCCAGCCCAGCTGCTCCAGCCCTGGCTAGGTCCCTGCCCATATACCGGTCAGGCCTTCTGGCCTTGCCTTTGGTTGACCCCACCTTCCAAAAAAGGAAGCAACAGATACTGGCCTTTGAGCAGAACCCAGAGAATGATCTTTAAAGATGTGTGTATGTGTGATGCAACTCCTTTAGCAAATGTTTGGGAGTGGTCAGAGCCAAGAACAGAACATTGTCCTCGCTTCCTGAACTCGGCTATTTACCAGGTGTCTTGACTCCCTCAGGCCACCGACGTCTAGATAACACCCTCCTCTCCTTGTTAGCTAACTTCTGACCTGTTATTATTTTGTGGTACTGGGCTACGTCCCTAGACAGGGTCTTGCAATGCTGCTGAGACTGGCATCTAAGTTAGGTTCCGCTTGCTTCAGCCTCCCAGAGTGCTCCAAGCACAGGTGTGCAGCCCGGGGCCCGGCTTGTTGGGCAGCGTTTAGAACTAGGCTTATTTTCAGCCCGGACTTCACAAACTGCAGCACTTAGGTCATAGTTTGCATGTATGTATATGGGCTGTGCATGGTTTTAGGTGCAGGACGATGTCCTTCATGGTTCAAAGGGGCCCGAGATGCCAGAAAGGTGAGGAGCATCACAGCAAGTGCTCACTGCCTGAACTCCAAACAGGGAGCCGACACCCCACGAAGGAAAGCGAAAGCGTGCTTTGTCTGTCTTCACTAACACTATGCTCTGGAAGAAGGAAGTGAAAGTCCTATCATGAAGTCATCTATGCTTCCCTGTAACTGAAAGGATGGGACTAAAAGGCAAAAAGCACCTCTGCACAGCACAGCACACAAAACTTTGAAGAAAAAGCTACGAGAGCTCTGGAATTCCCAATTTCCCTTCTCAGCAGCTCAAACCTTAAGCTGCCCATTGCTCTGGGCACGCACAGAAACTGGCTACAGTTCAGGGTTATGGAAGGGAAAGAAAGGCGACTCGGGCAGCAGTGACATCATCCCAAGTAAGACACTGCAGAGAGGGGCAGCTTTGAGAGTGCCTCCTCGGGAGCAGCTGCCCAGGAAAGTTCTGGGTGCCTGGAGAACCACCAGGAGGTTATGGTGTGGCCTCAGAGCTGTGGACTGGTCCCAGAGGACAAGAAAATGTCCTCTCCAGCACAGTCAGTTCTATTTTTTTTTTCCTTGAGTCAGGGTCTCCCTGTGTAGTTCAGGTTGACTTTGAACTCATTCCATAGCCCAAACTGGCCTCAAACTCTTAGCGATCCTCCTGCCTCGGCCTCCCAGATGCTGGGACTATGGGTGGTGCACTGCCTCAACCAGCTGCAGCCAGCTTTTCAATGCTCAGATTTTGGAACAGATTATGTTCTACCTTCCTTGTAACACCGAGAGGAAAGGTTACTGTCCCCTCCAAATGACAAATGAACATAATTTTGAAGGCAGAGGACAAATTTACATGAAGGCAGCCAGTTAGCGCACATCACAGTAACCACGCTAACAAGTTCAGACACTGACTATTCCAGGAGGCTGAATCAGTGAAAAATACAGTTGACCAGGGGCTGAAAGGGAAGCTGTGAATTCAAGCAGCCAATTGCCCCTCGCTTCCTCTGTTCCCTACAAAAGCTGAGCATGGAGGTGAAATAAGATGCACAATGTTCTAACCCCGAGAGACAATCTCCTGCACTTTGGGGTAAAGCCCACAAACACACTCAAACAGCTAAGAACACGCTGGCTGCCTGGCAGAGATGGCCGTACATACCCAGTAGGTGGGAGACGCTGCAGAGGCGCAGGGGTGGCGCTGGGCGCTCTTGGCAGTCGGGCAGCTCAGAAGCCCCTGTCCAGCCAACAGTAGGTCTTTTATACTCTTCCCTTTTTCTTTCGGTTTCCTTTTCAGGACAAGTTTTGTTTTTTCCGCTTACTCCACCCTTCCAGCTACGTGCTCTGGGGGGTTGGGGGGGGGGCTTCTCTGAAATCACCCAGATTCTCCTAAAAGGTCCGGCCTCCCGCCCCACCTCCCCTGCAGCCACGTGCACTGAGGCTTTCTGAGAAATCACGCAGATTCTGCTCAGCACCTCAGCCTCAGGACCAACCTTCTTTATGCTCCCGGCCAATCAGGGGCCAGTGGAGGCTGAGAACCCCTCAGGAGAACCGAGTGACCGCTCATTGCATCAGCCACGCTGGCCTCCAGCGCCGTCCCCACCCTCTTCCTCCCGTCCCCCACCCTTAGCATCGGTGACATTGTGTTAGGGTGCATTCCTGGGCGGGGCAGCAGAGGCACAAGGGAAACTCCCCGTGGCCGCTGTACCCCGATGTGCACAGAGGCGCCGCAGTGCAGCGACCAGGGCGCGAGGTCAGAGGTCACGGAGCCCTGGTTTCGACCCGACTCGGGCATCTTGCAGCCCCTCGCATCCGCATCAGTGCAGCGGGCGCCGAGAAATCTGCTAACAAGACCGTGGGGAGAAGCAAGCACCACACGACGGCAAAGCCCGGCCGGGGCCGAGGAGGGGCAGGCGGGAACCGGCCAAGCGGCCGGGGAGCTGGGCGAGATGGCCGGGCAGTCCCGCGCGGCGCAGGGACCCAGGGACACGAAAGGTGCTGGCGACGTGCGGGGTTCGAGGCCGGCACTGCGGGCCGCAGCGTGCCCAGGCCCCGGGTCCCCGGGCGCCGCCCCTGTGTCCCGCCCCGGCCTCACTTACCCGGCCCGGCCGGCCAGTCGGCACCGCCGGATTCACCACGGGGTCAGCCGCAGGGCGTCCGTGGAAACGCCGTCCGGCCGGAACAACTTCCGGCCGGGACGCCCCGTCATTGGCTGTTCGCTCAGGGGCGGGGCCAAGCCTGCCGCTGATTGGCTGGCAGTCCTGGCGTCGCGGCGGAACGCGACTAGGCGGTGAGAGCGGGACAGGCCGGCTCCGGGAGTTTACGGAGCGCTTCCGGCGCGTGTGGTGAGCGGCGGGCCCTGGGCGGGAGGGACCGGACCAGGCAGCGCTCGAGCCCTCCCCGCCCCTCAGCGGCGATCGCCGCCGATCGCCTCCTTCCCTTTTCCTCCTGTTCCTCCCAGAGCGCCTCGCTATGTATCACCCTTCTCTTCTGATCGCGCGCTAACTCCTATTCATCCTTCAAAACCCATCGCTGATGTATCTTGCTTGAACCTTTCATCAGCATGTAGCCTTTGGAGCAGGATGCGTGCTCTGTTTAATTTTCGATCAGACCCAGCATAGGACTTGACACAGCGTAGGTGATCAGGAAATGTTTGTCAAATGACATCCTTTTCCTTCCCCTGCACCTCCGTCCATCAGCTTTAAATTCCCAAATACTTATAGACTTTTTTCTTTTGGTTCCCCCCTGGGATTCTCCCTTTTGGTTTATTTTTTTTGTCTTGTTTTTCTGAGACACAGTCTCTTTGTAGCCCAGGCTGGCCATGAATGCCTGGCAATCCTCCTGCCTCAGCCTCCCAATCCCTGGGATCACGGGTGTGAGCCACCACACCTGGCTTTCTCGCTTGGTTCAGTCTTGTATTTTAGGAGTCAGAAGGCAGAAAGGCCGTCACCCTAAGTTGCTGTTGTCCTGGGCTTTTCCAGTTTGGTGCTTTCCTGATATCGCGGGACTCCCCTCCTCTCATCTTCGGGGTGGTTCACCCAGATGTCTTCTCTCAAATCTGACCGCCTCAGCCTCCCTATTGAAACTGCAAGCCCTGGCCCAGCTGCCCCAAACTCTCCCATATTTTTCTCCTTTCATTCTCCTATTGCCTGACATCCCCCAGCTCCCTGGATTTGGGGTCCAGGCTTCCCTAGAATTGTGGGCGCGGGGTACCGCTACTGTCTTGGTCTCTGTACGTTTCTGGTGCCGAGTGTGGGGCGTGGTGTGTAGTCAGTGCATCCCTAATGTTTGTTGATGAGTAACAAAATGTACACGGAGTGCAATGTATCAGGAACTGTGCTGTCCACTCTTTAAGGCCTGGACCTGGCCTTGTCAGGGAGCAGAGTTGAAAACGGTCCACATCACTCTCTGCTTGTGGTTTAGGCTGCCATGGGTGGCAGGGTGGTGGGAATCTACCTTCCTGCCTGTGAGTGGACGCCCGCCATGGTTCCTTTTGGCAGGAAGGGGCAGGACTCAGCAGAGTGGAGGTCAGGTGTGGCTCTGTCAGTCTGTAAGGAGCTCCCATGCTGCGGGGTTCCTTGTGAGGCAGGCTGGCTGGCTTTAGAAGTTTTTACTTTTTAATAATAATAATAATAATGTTTTCTTAAGAAAGGATCTTGCTAGGTAGCCCAGGCTGGCTTCGAACTTGCTGTGATCCTCCTGCCTCAACCTCCTGAGTGCTGGGATGACAGGTGTGAGCCACCGTGCTCCACCCTGACTTCAGCTGTGCACACTTTTCCTTGCATGGATTAGGCTGCGGGTGAGCGCAGCGCTCTTGCGGGAGGCCAAGCACTCAGTGCCCACCTGCGCACTCTGGGCCCCCTGGGGCTCAGGACCTGGTCCTGCCTGGGCTGGCTGTCAGCTCCACCATGCCCCCTGCTGGCCCTGCACCCTGAAGTCTTGCACTGTCCATTAAAACCCGGTTCACCTCCAGACCCAGCTCCTCCCCGGGAACGGGGAACGGGGACAGGGAACTGGCGGGTGATGACCCTGACCCATTGCAGTTTCCGGTGGCACCTGCTTCCTGTCGGGAGCCCAGTCCGGCTCCTTTGTGGCTAAGGAACAGCACTGCGGGCCCCGTGGACAGGGACTGCTGTGGGCAAGTGCACCTGGCTGGCCTCGAGGTCTGCAGTGGGGCTGTCTAGGGGGGATCTGAGCAGGGTTAAAGTGGTGGCCACATGGTCTGTGCTGGCCTTCCTGGGCATCACGCCTGCCCTGCCTTCCTCTCCCCCATCCTGCTCTCCTGCTTTGGTGCCAGAGGTTGAACCCAGGCCTCGGCCAGGCAGGCAGGTGCTTTAACGCTAGGCTACATCCTTGGCCCTTTACAATTTACTTGGATAAAACCGGTGAGCCAGGCCTGGTGGTGTACAGCTGTGATTCCAGCACTTGGGAGGCTGAGGCAGGAGGACTGCTGCAAGTTCAAGCCAGCCTGCGTAGTGAATTTATCCTGTCAAAAAAGAAAAAGAAAAAAAGAAAAAGTTTTATTTTGAGGCAGGGTTTGGCTGCCTTGTTTTGCGAATTTGAAGTCCTTTTGGATAGCTGGGATCACGTGGGATTACTGCTATGTTCAGCTAGCTAGGTCGTTTGTTAGATCCTTCGTTAAAAAACGTTTTATAAAAATTTTTATTTTTGGGCTGGGGATTTAGCTCAGCGTCATAAGCACACGTCTGGCAATGCTAGGTCATGAGTTCGATCCTCAGTACACACACACACACACAAAAATCAGAAAGTTTCTTCCTGTAGGCCTTGACAGCTTTTTCAAGGCTTGTTTTCAGGTGTTTTGTAGTCTTCATTTTTAAGAAGACATCACTATTAGCCTCGGCAGGGCAAGGGTGATCAGTAGACTCACGGCGGTCCCAAGGATAAGGGAGATGATCCTTTGTGTCTAAAATTCCCAGACTGACTTTTCCCTAGTCCCTTCCCAAATAAGGCACTAGGACAATGGACCTATCAAAAACTCAGTGACCTGGAGCCAGATTTAAACTGCCCTATCAAAAGACTTACTGCCAGTGAACTGAAAATAGAATTTTTCTGATTGGATCCATATGTCGAGCTCAGGAGCTGTGAAGTCTTTTTTGGGGAGGAGGTTTTGAAAAAAAATCATTTTAACTGATTTCTCTCTCTCTTTTTTTTTTTTTTTTTACTGGTACCAGGGATTGAACTCAGGACCATGCGCTTGCAAGGCAGGCTCTTATGCTGCTGAGCTAAATCCCCAGCCCCAACTGACTTCTTTTTTGAGATAGGGTCTCACTATGTATGTGGTCCCAGCAATACTCCTGGAAGCCCCATCTCTGAACATGACTGCCTTAGAGTCCAAGCCAACAACACATAAGCTCTGGGGGCCAGCTTTTTTTTTATGTTAAAATTGTTTAAAATTCTTTCTTTTAGCTCTTTGAAAAAAAGCCCCTCTCCCTGGCGGTACTGGGATTGATCCCCGGGCCTTTGCATTGAGCCCATTATATTTATTTTTTATTTATTTGTTTTTGAGCTGTGTAGTTCAGTCTGGCCTTGAACTCATGGGGATCCTCTTGCCTCAGCCTCTTGAGTGCTGGGATTATAGGCATGTGCTATTGTGTCTGGCTCTCAGCCTATTTTACTTTATTTTTTTGTTTTCTGAGGCAGGGACTTGCTGTGCCGTTCAGGCTGGCCTTGAGCTATGTAGTCCACCTAGCTTTAAATTTGCACTGATCCTCCTGCCTCAGCCTCCTGAATGCTGGGATTATAGGTATGTGTCCCCACGCCCAGCATCAGTCCATTAAACCTTTTTATTTAGCAGCTGGCTAAAGGCTGGATTTCTGATCTTTCTCTTTTTCTTTTCTTTCCCGCAGTACTGGTGATTGACTGAACACTCTACCGCTGGCCTAGTGTATCTAGAGGTGTCACGAAGTTGCCCAGGGAGGCCTTGAACTGTAATCCTCCTGCCTCGGCCTCCTGCACACTGCGTGCTGGGCTCACACCTGTGCAGGGCTGCTCGGCTCACACCTGCGCAGGCCGCTCCGCACTTTCCTGACTTGGACGTTCTTCGGTGCCAGGTGGTCTGCCCTGGAGGGCAGCGGGGCGCGGCCTGCCCCATGGCCTCGCTGGTGGCTTACGAAGACTCGGACTCGGAGGCCGAGGCCGAGCCCGGAGCAGGTGGGCAGGCAGCCGGCCTGGTGGAGGACCGAGCGGCGGCGGCGGGGACGCGGTGCGCGGAGCCCGGGCAGCCCCGGCTGCCGCCCCCGGCCGGGCTGCCGCTGTCGGGCAGCGACCCGGGCCGCGGCCCCAGCGCGCGGCTGCGGTGGCCCGGCACGGAGCGCGCGGCCGCCTGGGCGCCCCCCCGGGCCTCGGCGCTGTGGGCCGGCTGCGCCCCGGCCCGGCCCGCGCCCCCGCCCCCGCCCGCGGCCCCCCGGAAGCGGCCCCCCGCCCCCCGGGACGCCCCCTGCTGGACGCGGGCCCAGGCCGGCGCCCCCGGCGGCAGCGGCGGCGCGGGGTTCCCGCGCGGGGGCCGCCGGAGCGAGGACTGCGTGGTCCCCTACACCCCCAAGAGGCTGAGGCCGCAGCAGGGCGCCCCGCCCGGCCAGGAGGCGCCCGGGCCCCCCGAGGGCAGCGCCCCGGCCCCGCTCCGCCTGCCCCCCGGCGTGTCCGAGGCCATCCAGCCGCACCTGAACGGTCCGCGCAGGGAGACGCGGGTGCCCCGGACCGTGCTGCGCCACCTGCGGGGACACGAGGGCCCCGTCAACGGCATCCAGTGGTGTCCGGTGCCGGCCCGCAGCCAGCTGCTGCTCTCCACCTCCATGGACCGGACCTTCAAGGTAGGCACGGCCGCGGGGCTTGTGTGGGGGATTTGGGTGACTCGGTGACGGTCCGGCAGGGTGCCCTGGGCCTGGCCGGGACTCTGGGTCCCGAACGCCCCCTGCTTTCTGGCTGCTGGGGTGTCCAGGTTACCAGAGCATTCAAGTGATGGCAGCACCAAACGTCAAAAACCTGACCTTGTAATCACTGCATACTCATCGGGATTATTTTTGGTTTTTGAGACAGGGTCTTGCTGTGCAGCTCAGACTGGCCTTGAACTCATAGTGTAGCCCAGGCTGGCCTCCAGCTTGTAGGGACCCTCCTGCCTCAGCCTCCTGAGAGCAGGGTCACAGGTGTGTGCCGTGACATCCGGCAGTGACACCATGTTCTTTTATCACCTGATTGTTCATGATGGATTTAGCTGCTTCCCTCCTGCAGCGGCCGCCGTGGGCTCTGATTCCCTCCTCTGTACAGGGCCGCAGTGGACACGCCCCTGCGGAGGCCTACTCCCCTGTCTGCTCCTGGCGTTTCCTTAGGGTGGATCCCTGGGGAGGAATGCCTCCCCAGGGATCCACCCTAAGGATTAGTTTAGCACTGTGGGGGACCCTGTGGAATTGCTCTGCACGCCTGTGAGTCCCAGCTCCTTGGGAGGAGGATTGCAGGCTCAAGGCCAGCCTGGGCGACACCCCCAGACCTTGTTTCAAGGCCAGAAACAAAGGGCAGGGTTTGGAGCTTGTGCCCTGGTCTAGCAGGACGCTTCATTCCTCAGTACAAGCAAAAAAAAAAAAAAAAAAAAGTTAGGAAGGGGGAGGAAACAAATCTGGTCATGCCACTGGCTCACCAGCCTGAGGGTTCTCTCTCTGGTCAGGGCTTTTTTGAGTTGTCCCCACGGCGGGGACAGGGACCGAGCATGCAGGTTTTGAGAATCTGCCTTTGGCAACAGAGTAGCAGAACCGTTCTGTGGGGTTCTTCAGCAAGTTTTGAAGCAATGTAGGGTTAAGGCGGGAGGCAGGGTGTGGCGCACACCTGTGCTCCCAGCGAGCAGGAGGCTGAGGCAGGAGGATCAAAAGTTTGAGCCCAGCCTGGGTAACTTTGCAAGACCTTGTCTCAGCATAAAAACTTAATAAGAGAGGCAGCGTTGGTGTTGCGTCTACCTGTGCTGTGTATCGCTGGCTGGCCAAGGAGAGAACAGGGAGGTTCGAACAGCTCGGCTCTGTGGACAGGTGAGCCAGCTGGGAAGCGACTGCCAGTGGTGACGGAGGGGCTCTGGGCTTCGCCTGAGCCGTAGGGCAGCTGGCTGGTCTTCCCGGGTGGCTTCTCATCTGTCCACGCTTGTGGCCTGGGGCCTGTGCACACGGGATGGTCGGCAGCCGTGCTCCGGGCCCTGGAGCCGCCCAGGCCTTTGGTCTGCGGGCAGAGAGGAGCTATCGGCTTGCCAGGCGGGAGGCCAACGTACAGCGTGGCTTTGGAAATGACCTGAGGTGGCCGCAGTCCTCTCACCCCGGAGGTCCTCGTCTTGGCCGTCTCTGATGCTGGGGCTGTGGTGGCTGCCCGGGGGCACCTGGCGACCCTCAGGTGCGTCTGTGGGGTTTTTTTTTGTCGTTAGTCTTTTGTCTTTTGGTCTCGCTGTGCAGCTCAGGCCTTGAGCTCACTTTGTATAACTAGGCTGCTCTTAAACTTACAACAGTCCCCGGCCTCAGCCTCCCAAGTGCTGGAATTGCAGGTATGTGGCACCCCGGCTCGGGTAGTGCGTACCCACCCCACTCCTGTGGGGGAGCTGGTGCCCATGCGTGACGAGTCTTCAGTCTTTTACGTCCCTTTGTTTGCCCTGCTTTTCTCCTCCTTCCATCTCTTGATCCTCTTCCTTTTTGCAAAAATCTATCTCTGTTCCCTATTAGCTACGGTTTATTGATTTAGGGTACCGGGGGTGGAACTCATGACCTCACACTTGCCGGCAGGCACTTGTGCCTCTGGGTTAAATCCCCAGCCCCTGATTTATTTTTAGAGTGGGGAAATGTACTGGGGAATAGGAATAGCTCCTGTGAGAGAAGAGGGGTCCCGAAGGGGTTACCCCATCTTTCAGTACCTTTATGTTTTGGGTTTCTCACATAAGGAAAGGTGATAATTGGCTTGCCTGCCTGGTTAGGTCACTTAGCGTTAGGGTCTCAGGATGCACCCCTTTCCCTCCCCGTGACTCAAGATCACTTTCTTTATGGCAGAGTAGTACTCCAGGGCATGTAAATACGGAATTTGCTTTGTCCGTTCATCTGTTGATGGAGATACTGGCCACTTCCCAGACTTTGCTATTACGAACTGTGCTGCTATAAACATGCTGTGCGTGGTCACTGTAATACAGCATCTTTAACTCTCTTGGGGAGGCACCTAGAAGGGTGCTGGCCGGCAAGTGGAATGTCCAGTGCTCGTTTTGAGGTGTCTCCATGCTGCTGTTCACAGTGGCTGTAGGCCTCACACTCCTCACAGCCTCGCCAGTGTTTGTTACTTGGTTTTGTGAGGGCTGCCGTTCTTTCTGGAGTGAGATGGAGTCGCAGAGTTGTTCATTTATTCCGCCGTTGTTTAATCTGCGTCTCTAATGGCTGGTGATTTGGCCGTTTCTCCATGTGTTTGTTGGCCATTTGTACTTCTGAGGAGTGTCTCTTCATCTCGGGTACCTGCTTTTTCTTCTTTTTTTGTCTTTTTGAGACGGGGTCTCCCTGTGCAGTTCAGGCTGGCCTTGAGCTCACTTTGTAACCCAGGCTGGTCTCAAACTCACAACAGTCCTCCCGCTTCAGCCTCCCAAATGCTGAGATTACAGGCGGCGCCATCACGCCCGGCAGATGCTTGCTTTTGGGCTGGGTCTTTTAGTTTGGGGGCCTACTTGTGAGCTCTTTACTATTCTAGTATTCTAGTCTTCTGTTCAAGTGCAGTGCACACAGCTTTCCCGGGCCGCCTGCGGTCACCTCTCCACTCTGTGAGTGGTCTTTACTGTGCAGCCTTTTTCTGTGCTGTGACCCTCGTTGGGGATTCAGGCTGTGATTTCCTGCGCCCTTGGGGTTGTGCTGAGAAGGTCCTCACCTGTGCTCAAGGCTCCGGGGCCTTCACCTATGGCTTCTCCTGGCCGGGATCCTGAGTCCTGGCCTCTCAGTTCTTCCCGAGGGTCTGTGCTGGGGCAAAGCCATGGGGGGAGGGGGGCAGCTGGCAGCCCTCTCCCCAGCTCGCGTCATTGTGGGCGGTGTCTCCTCCCGGGGCTGCGGCTCTGACCCTGAGCAAGGGCGCGAGGGGCGTGGGGCAAGGCCGTTTCTCTGTCCTGTCTGCCTGGAAGTCGGGGTCCCAGATGGAAGGGCGCCAGCCCCTCAGTGTAGAGTGCGTCCAAGTGGGAACCTGTGACCAGCAGAGGGTGCCTCTGGGCCGGCCAGGGCGCTGGCGGCCCCTGGGAAGTTCGGAGACCCAGGCTTGTGGCCTGAGGTGGCCCCGCCTGCCCCTGCGGGCGCTCGAGGGCAGCCCTGGGAGTGACCCATCGGCAGAGCACATCTTCTCTGGATGTGGTGCAGATTGGAGCTCTCCTGAGCCACGGGGCAGAGTCCTGTGGGCTTCGAGGTCATCGAGTTCCCAGTTCCCAGGTCCTCTGGCAAACAGGTTTTGGGTAATGTGGACCCCAGGGTTCTATTTTGGAGCCTCCCGGTTCATGGATTTTTTTTTTGAGACCTGGTCATAACTCAAGGTGATCCATTTGCTTCAGGCAGGCCCGACGGTACTTGTGAAGCGGAGATAACCACACACGCCTTGCGGGATTTGGTGAACAAACAGACGTGGGTTCCCTGTGCGGTGCCAGGGGCGTGGTGGGCACCCCGCGTGCACCCCCCGGGCTACGCACTGGAGCATCCTCTCCGCGGGAGTAGCTGCTAGGCCCAGTGTCTCTCGAGTAGGGGAACCTTGCCAGGCCCACTTTGGTGATCACTTGGCACCAAAGTTGCTACAGGTTCAGGGATCAGCAAAGAACCTGAACGCGTTCTTTGGGCTTTGATGCCCGACCTGGGGAGGGGATTGCGCGCTGCCTGCGATGCTCCCGTGCACCGCTAGGGGGCACTGCAGGCCTTCGTATCCCTGGCGCCCCAAGCTTCTAGAACCTGGAAGAAGCCCTGCTGGAAGGTAACATTTACTGAGAGATGATTAGGAGAGAAACAACACAAACCTCCTGATTAATCCACAGAACCGAGAGTGCCAGTTCCCTCCTCTCCCGAAGGGTAGCCTTAGAATTCATAAATTTCAATTTGGACACATTAAGGCGGAAAGATATTTAGTTTCATATGTTCTAAATGTTCTGTGAGCTGTAAAATATGCTTAGATTAGTTTTGAAAATTTACAGCCAGAGCAATTAAATAAAATAAAACAATGAGTCATCATGCCGCCCCCTGGCTCTGCTTTCTCTCGGGGGAGCCCTGACTGCCCGGGCCTGGGGCCAGTGTGTCCCAGGTTGGCAGCCCCAGCCCAGACCCTTTGCACACTTTGCATCCCCCGTGCATGCGCCTGGCGTGTGTGTTTGCACACCCACCACTTGTGGAGGCTGAACTGAGACTCCGATGGCCCTCTGCAGGGCAAAAGCAGACCTGCTCTGCCCAAACACAGCCAGCCCCCCTTGCTTGCCCTGTGTGGTGCCTGCCCAGTACCAGGCCCTGGAGGAGACCACGGAGAGGACGCCCAGCAACCGAGGTGGGGCGCTTTCACCCCCGGGACCTGCACTCCTGCACCTCTAACCTGAGCAGAGTCCTTCTATCCAAAAGTGGTTTGCTTTGTGGAATGATTTCCTCTAGGTGCTGTTTTCGAGAACAGGTTTACTTTTCAGCGTTTTTTTTTTTTTTTGGTGTGTTTGAGACAGGGTCTCGCTATGCAGTTCAGGTGGCCGTGAGCTCACTCTGTAGCCCAGGCTGGTTTTGAACTTGCAAGGTTCCTCCTGTCTCAGCCTCCTGAGTGCTGGGATTACAGGGGGCATCATCATGTCTGCCTGCTATTTATTTTTTTGAGA